ACACTTGTACGGCTTCTCTCCTGTGTGGATTCTCATGTGAGACACTAGAGAGCTTGACTGTGAAAAGGTCTTCTCACACAGATCACACTTGTACGGCCTCTCTCCTGTGTGGATTCTCATATGAAAACGGAGGCCACTGGATTGTCTAAATCCCGTCCCACACAGATCACACTCGTAGGGTTTCTCTCCTGTGTGGATTCTCATATGCTGATGGAGGTTACCGGAGCGTCTAAATCCCATCCCACACTGCTCACACTTGTACGGCCTCTCTCCTGTGTGGATTCTCATGTGTTGATGGAGGTTACCGGAGCGTCTAAATCCCATCCCACACTGCTCACACTTGTACGGCCTCTCTCCTGTGTGGATTCTCATGTGTATTACTAGGTGGCTTGACTGTGAAAAGGTCCTCTCACACAGATCACACTCGTAGGGTTTCTCTCCTGTGTGGATTCTCATATGTCGATGGAGGCTATTGGAGTCTCTAAATCCCGTCCCACACTGGTCACATTCAAATGGTTTCTCTCCTGTGTGGATTCTCATATGTTTATGGAGGCCACTGGAGTCTCTAAATCCTGTCCCACACTGGTCACACTTGTACGGCCTCTCTCCTGTGTGGATTCTCATGTGTATTACTAGGTGGCTTGACTGTGAAAAGGTCCTCTCACACAGATCACACTCGTAGGGTTTCTCTCCTCTGTGGATTCTCATGTGTGTTACTAGGTAGTTGGCGCGTGAAAAGGTCTTCCCACACAGATCACACTCGTAGGGTTTCTCTCCTGTGTGGATTCTCATGTGTGTTACTAGGTAGTTGGCGCGTGAAAAGGTCTTCCCACACAGATCACACTCGTAGGGTTTCTCTCCTGTGTGGATTCGCATATGTCGATAGAGGCTACCGGAGTCTCTAAATCCCGTCCCACACTGGTCACATTCAAATGGTTTCTCTCCTGTGTGGATTCTCATATGTTTATGGAGGCTACCGGAGTCTCTAAATCCCGTCCCACACTGGTCACACTTGTACGGCCTCTCTCCTGTGTGGATTCTCATGTGTATTACTAGGTGCCTTGACTGTGTAAAGGTCCTCTCACACAGATCACACTCGTAGGGTTTCTCTCCTGTGTGAGTTCTGTAGTGTACTTTCAGTTCGGACGATTTTCGCCACACTTTTCCACACTGGTCACACTTGTACGGCCCCTCTCCTGTGTGGATTTTCATATGTGTTACTAGGCTGCTTGAGTGTAAAAAGGTCTTCCCACACAGATCACACTCGTAGGGTTTCTCTCCTGTGTGAGTTCTGTAGTGTACTTTCAGGTCGGAAGCTCTTGGACACACCTTTCCACACTGGTCACATGTGAAGGTCATTCTGTTGGTGGATCTTGTAGCTCTGCATTAGGACAAAGGAAAGAAAGTGTCAAGTAAAATCACATTTTAAACTGTTCAAATAAAGTAAGTGACTAAATACACATAAAATCACACAGAGTGAATCATACGTAAGAATGTTTCAGTGTTTTACAAGCAAGTTCCATTTGAGTGAATGAATTTAACTTTGTATTTGATTTTAAAATCACACTTTTTCTGTCTGTAGCAAAAGATCAAATTAAGGAAACATAAACAGAGATATTGAACGACTTTGTTGTTCTGAATTCTAGTCCACATGACCTGAACAGAGACATGTCATAATGAAGGGATGTGGGTCATTCCATGACGCCAAACCTCCGAATGCCCCCACCCGACCATCTCCAATTTGACTGAAAAAATTCTAGGAGGATCCAGTCCCAAATTTTAGCTCCCAACACTTCACAGTTTTGTCATTAACCCACTGACGCCGGATGCTGCGCAGCGCAGCGCTGAGTCCCCTGTCGGTGTTCCGGATTGTCTGGCGATCAGCGTAACTGGCAAAGGTGGAGCCACATCTGGAAGCATGGGGGGCGTGTCCTCCTCTCACTTCCATTCACTCCCATAGAGAGACACAAAACTGCCGGAGCTGTATTGTCACGTTAAACCTTCTTTATCCATATAATATAATCCAATAATCCAAATGTGTCCCGCACATTTTCCCATCAAGACCTGGTTTGAAGTAACAAATGTTGCTCTTTACTGCCAGCGCATGAACGCACTCAACCACTTGATCTAGTCACTGTTCCAGAGGCTCCTATAACAGGTGCCATATCGCTGTGTCGTGTAACAAATAAACATGGTCAAACACAAAAATGCTGACAGTGACAATGACAGTAAAGACACGGACAACGTTTGTATCACTGCAGCGCGCAGTGATACAAACGGAGAGAAAATAGTGCCAAGTGATTTTGAGGTCTGACTTTTTTGTAGACAATGGTTTTGTGATGCAAATGTGTCACTCTTTTGAACACAGATTGTTTTGAGAAGAAAAACACTTTATTTTCATATCCTCAGCCAACTTGCTGGACGACTTTCATCAGCACCAAAACCGGCCGGGGGTAAATCAGTGTGGACACACCAGGAGCATGAAGCCCCCGACAACAGAGCTCCAGGATCATTCAGACTCGAACTCCTCCACCACGTTAAGGTGACGGTTCAGATTGATTGCATTTATATAGTGCCTTTCAAGATACCCAAAGCACTTTACAGTTCATTATTCAGTCACTCCACACTCAGTGATGGTAAACTACTACTGTAGCCACAGCTGCCCTGGGGCAGACTGACAGAAGCAAGGCTGCCAATCTGCACGATCGGCCCCTCCGTCCACCACCATCACTCACACTCACACCACTTTTATACTAGGCAATGTGGGTGAAGTGTCTTGCCTAAGGACACAATGACAGTTTTTGCCCCCTGTGGCACCTGGAATTCCTAGCAGTGTCTCCCATCCAAGTACTAACCAGGCCCAGCCTGCTTAGCTTCTGAGATCTGACGGGATCAGGCTTTTACAAGCCGGTATGGCCACAGGGAGGGGCAGTGCCTGTGTGAGGCAGACTTTACCCACACGGGCAGAGCTTTTAAATGCCACAGCGCTCACAGATCGGTTCAGATGCCGTCACCATATATGGACTTGTACCTGGACACGCCCACTCCTTAACGCTCGCGCTTAGTGCCAAGACTGGGGGCAAGATCGGGCCCAAAATGTCTGTTTTTAACACATCAAAAATGTGTGATGGTGTTCTGCCTTATTTTTGCAAAATGATTTTTTAAAATGTGGTGTCCGTGTACATTGAAAACTATATCAAGTAAGAAAGTTTCTTGGTGCAACACATGCACAAACAAAACACTGAATTTATCTTCTTATAATTGGTTTGAATATTGTTTTAATGAAGTTACACATTGAGTTGAACTGTTTTAATGCTTAAACAAATGATAGATTTATAAAAGATAGATCTGCTAGGATCGAGCCTTTAAAGGGAACACTGTGTCCTGAATAATAGAAAGCAGACGTGTGCTTTTAGGGAAATTCCTTTACAGAGAAAAGGGCTGTCTCAAAACATTACATCTTTTTTGTTATTTTGACCATTTGTCATTTTCTGCAAATAAAAGCTCTAAATGAAAATATTTTATTTGGAATTTGGGAGAAATGTTGTCAGTAGTTTATAGAATGAAGCAAAATGTTTCATTTTACTTGTTAGGCGTGTTCTATCAAAAATTACAAGACTCAATCAATTTAAATTACAAAAATGTATTCCCCTGCCAATACAATTCTAATCCAGAGCTCTGGGTCAGATCGTTGTCCCTGATGCCTCCAATTACGCAGGTCTTAAGCCAGGCAACCTGACCCCCTGCCTGAACCTCAACCCAGTTTATAAAACACAACAGTATAAATATGCAAATAATATGTTGAGCAGGTTCACGCCTTGAAGCGTCAGCATTTCTTCTTTGGGGGAAGTGACAACCCCCTCCAAACCAGTGTAAATCACACCAAGTCTGTTTAGATAAGCCAGCTGGTTATCTCCACAGTCCCAGTTCTGCAAAGGAATTTGCTTAGAAGCACATAAATTACCCATTATGTAGGAAACACAATGGTACTATTCAACAGATAAGATCTCAGTGTTTAAGCTTCAACTCAATGTGTAACTTCATTAACCAATATTCAAACCATCACTTGATACAGCCTTCATACTCAAACACAACATACCTAGAAGTACCTATATGTGATCATTTTGCAGTGGTCTCTTCTTTTTTCCAGAGTTGTATATCACCAGTTTCCCACTTCAGCTCCGTTATATTTCTGCATCACACCTGGATTTGTTAGATTTGTACGTTTTCTTCCTGCTCTTCTCCAAAAGCAGTGTCCTTGAGGACACTGATTTTACCATTAGTTTCACTTTTGTAGTTGAAGACTATATTGAGAAATAAAGTATCGTGAGTGTACTGCATACAAATATTAAATACTACAATGATATATTTGTTTGAATAGCTAATGCTGAATCTCTGAAACCTGATCTATGTGTTTAAAGACACTGCTGTGACAGTTGTGTTCTAAGGGAATCCTCTACAGAGCAGCTGACGAGGGCTCATCCTGACTGGCACCGAGCTTAAATATACCATGACTAGAATTGAATCTGGAGGTCATGCCCATAAACGGAGAAGCTTCAGGGAGGATTCAAGGAGTGAACCTGCATCCTGTGCAGCTGTAGGCATCAGGGACAGTGATTTCACCCAGGGCTCTGGATTAGAATTGTATTGAATAGGGAATAAACTTTTGTGATTTTAATCGATCGATTCCAGTCCTCATTTTCCACGGAACACGCCAACATAGTAGAAAATGACTTTTTGTAAACATTTTGAAGACCTGGAGATACCAACTTTGTAAAGAAATAACCACATTTTATTTTCAAATTAAATAAACAAGTTCACCTTTAAGTGAAGCAAGAACTTTTTACTGTGGAGAAGTTAGTTTCATGTTAGACGTTGGATTGGTTCATTTAAGCAACAACAGTGGAGATGTTCAGTGTCTGTGGCCCTACAGGCTCCATCAGGGCGCGGGGAGCGAGAGGAAAACACAGATTGTGCATGTTTGTTTTATAAAACATTTGTTATTCTGATGTATTTTGAGGGTTAATGTTTTTTTCAATATCTATATAATAGATAAATGTTAGGTTTATCTAAACATTATAAACAAGAAGAAAGACAAGAGATTAATTCAGTTTTACTCATGAGGAGAACGGGCAGAGAGTGGGCATCAAAACCAACAGTCTCCACACGTTCTGATGACTCAAGGCCGCTCTCCTCCTTTTATTTCATTAGGAGGCCCTAGTTACAGAATGATAATTCTCAAGGGGAAGGGGAAACCAGCAAAGACATAATAAGAAACTGGTGCAGCTATGCATAGTATAAACACATAAAACATGATTAACAATCAGGAGGTGCCGTAGGTCAGACACCATCATAACTCTTGCATGTGTGACAGTGGGAGTTGGTTTCATGTGAGGAATCATCTCGAGGTTCACAAGAGCGACAGGACACTGCACACAGGTGTTAAGAACAAAGAGGTTATTCATATTCATACAAATGATTGGTACATTATAAATCAAAGAATTGTAGTACATAAATGGTTAACTCATAGGTCTAGAATAACACACAAGTATTTAGCAAATATGGGATAATAGAATTATTCTGACATTTCCCTCCTGTTTATCATATATTTGCTAACGAAAAATCAATTCATAACTACTTCTTTCGATTTTCAGTTATGATTTCATAGTTGAGCAATTATATATTTACACTCGGAGGTAATGTTATTTTTAGTCTAGTTTTAGTTTAGCTTTCTGTGTCATGCTCAAATAGAAGTGAGGGAGCCAAGGAGGAGGAGTCCCCACTGTATGAATCATCACCAGCCAACAAATGTGCTTGCACTGCCTTATCGTCAGGATATGGGGCAAGTGCAGTGGTGATTAGTCTATTAAGTAATTTTCGGATGCAGGGAATACAACAACATCCACACAACGTCAATAAACCGGCGAAAATGGCTACGGAGATCAGCGCAGAGGACACAATGGACTTGTATTTCCCAAATACGTCCATCCAGTCATCCCACATGGACTGGTCAACGCCATTATTGCAAATCATCTTAATCTTGACACCACAGTACCATGCCTAGAGATTACTCTGTGGGTGTATAGCTCTGATCGAGACCCAAACTTTCCCGTGTTTGTATGTAGAAGCATTAATAGAACTGAACCAATTATGGACAGTCAAACCCGTGATAGAGGAGTTAAAATAGCATTGACAAAAACCACTTTCACACCAGATGATTGGTTCCATGTTACTACAGGGGTCTCAGCTGCATATAACAATTGGTTACTCTTAGTAGAACAAGCAGCTGAAGCTGTGAAAACTGATTGTGTGGTGTGTCTAGGCCCTAGACCCATACTAAGAGTAGTACCAGCTGCTATAAACGTAACATGTCTTGTAAATGTCATGTATAATACAAACCCATGGCACAATTGTTCTTATTGGGACGCCGTTTATCCCATAACACCCTTTGAGAAAGAGAAGCCTATTTTTGATAAACATGTAGCTAAAGCTAATTATTCTTGCATCCGCATGACTGGAAATGGTGAGCATCTGGACAATCTCACAGCCTCCTGGTGTGTTGACGTTTTCGAGGTCAACAACCACTTTCAGCCTGTGTCCCGAGGCGATGTGTGGTGGTGGTGTGGCAAAGATAAACTTTATGACCGATTGCCCAGAAATGTGATAGGACACTGTGCTTTAGTGTCCCTTTTGCTGCCCACGACCATACACCTCCTCCCTGATAAACATTTACTACATGAAATGTCTAGCGTCTTACCTAAAACATGGTCTAGAAATAAGAGATTCTCCTCATGGAAAGGAGATTCTGACCCGACATATATTGATGCTATAGGAGTCCCGAGGGGGGTCCCCAGTGAGTACAAGTTAGTGGATCAAATAGCCTCAGGCTTTGAAAGTTTCCCAATTTTGTCTGCTATATTTCCGGTAACTCCAAATTAAAATGTTGATCGAATTAACTACATCCACTACAATGTTCAAAAACTAGGCAACTACACCCAGGCTGGATTTTGAGGCAGTGCATGAGCAGTTGCAGCAACTTCTCTGATGATGTTCCAAAATCGTATCGCATTAGATATGCTCCTCGCTGAGAAATCTGTGTGTGAGATTTTTGGTGACCAGTGCTGCACCTTCATCCCTAACAACACTGCATCTGATGGTAGCTTGACTAGGACCATTGAAGGCCTACGGACCCTTAACAAGCGCCTTAAAGAGCAGTCTGGTGTTGACCAGTCCATGTGGGATGACTGGATGGACGTATTTGGAAATACAAGTCCATTGTGTCCTCTGCGCTGATCTCTGTAGCCATTTTCGCCGGTTTATTGACGTTGTGTTAATGTTGTTGTATTCCCTGCATCCGAGAATTACTTAATAGACTAATCACCACTGCAATTGCCCCATATCCTGACGATAAGGCAGTGCAAGCACATTTGTTGGCTGGTGATGATTCATACAGTGGGGACTCCTCCTCCTTGGCTCTCTCACTTCTATTTGAGCATGACACAGAAAGCTAAACTAAACTAGACTAAAAATAGCATTACCTCCGAGTGTAAATATATAATTGCTTAACTATGAAATCATAACTGAAAATCGAAAGAAGTAGTTATGAATTGATCCTTTTTAGCAAATATATGATAAACAGGAGGGAAATGTTAGAATAATTCTTTTATCCCATATTTGCTAAATGCTTGTGTGTTAATCTAGACTATGTGTTAACCATTTATGTACTACAATTCTTTGATTTAGAGTGTACCAATCAATTGTTAGGAATGTGAATAATCTCTCTTGTGCTTAACACCTGTGTGCAGTGGCCTATCGTTCTTGTGAACCCCGAGATGACCTCTCACGTGAAGCCAACCCCCACTGTCACACTTGCAAGAGTTATGACGGTGTCTGTCCATACCAACGGCACCCCCTGATTGTTAATCATGTTTTATGATTTAAGCCTGTGTTGTGTTTTGCTAATCCCCCTTCCCCTTGAGAATCATGTGTCTGTAACCAGGGCCCTCTAATGATAATAAAAGGAGGAGAACGGCCTTGGGTCGGCAGAACGTGTGGAGACTGTTGCACTGAAAGCCACTCTCTGCCCGTTCTCCTCATGAGAAAAATCTTAATTAATCTCTTGTCTTTCTTCTTGTTTTTAATGTCTAGATAAACCTAACATTTACTTGGTCAAGTAATTTAAAAACTCCAAACCAGGTTATTATAGTGATCCTACTCTTCAGGTGTCACACGCACCCGGACACGCACCCGGACACGCACCCACGCACCCGGACACGCACCCTGGACACACAGAGACCAGGAACTGACATTTCATCTTGAAAGGCAAGTTCTAGTAATAACAACAGAATAGAGAACAACAGGCTTAATCTGAGTGTCAGAATAATTCTATTATCCCATATTTGCTAAATGCTTGTGTGATATTCTAGGCCTATGAGTTAACCATTTATGTAACTACAATTCATTGGTTTATAATGTACCAATCACTTGTATGAAAATGAATAACCTCTGTGTGTTTGACAACTGTGTGCAGTGTCCTATCGCTCTAGTGAACCTCGAGATGATTCCTCACATGAAGCCAACTCCCACTGTCACACATGCAAGAGTTATGATGGTGTCTGACCAAACCTAAGGCACCTCCTGATTGTTAATCATGTTTTATGTGTTTATACTATGCATAGCTGCACCAGTTTCTTATTATGTCTTTGCTGTTTCCCCTTCCCCTTGAGAATTATCATTCTGTAACTAGGGCCTCCTAATGAAATAAAAGGAGGAGAACGGCCTTGAGTCATCAGAACGTGTGGAGACTGTTGGTTTTGATGCCCACTCTCTGCCCGTTCTCCTCATGAGTAAAACTGAATTAATCTCTTGTCTTTCTTCTTGTTTATAATGTTTAGATAAACCTAACACTGAGTCTGGTATATGAACGTAACAGAACAGTTCTTCAGATAAGTAACAAGGACAGGGGGAAAATGACCAGAGTTTTTGTTGATGTTATTATTATGTTTTGTTTAGAGTAAAAAAGCCTAAACATGTCTGTTTTATCTATGAAAGAAATGTCCAAAAAATCCACAAAGGGTTAATTCAGAAAACCAAAAGGTGTGAGGCCTGAGGAGCAGCACTACTATAATACTAATAATACTTTAGTTTGGAGTTTTTAGGTTATTTGACCTGGAAGATATTGAAAAAAAAAGCATTAATTATTTAATTCTCAAAATACATAAAAAATATGTTATAAAACATACATACATAATCAGCGTTTCTCTTTTGGTTTGATTTTGTTTTTTCACAGTTGTGTTTCGATTCATTTCTGAAGCAAACTCCATTGACTCAAGAGTGAGAGACTGACGCTGTAAGCGGCGGGACTCAGCGGGGTTTGGGGACACAGGTCCCCGCTCCGTGCTGCAGCCCGCGGGCCCAACATCCAACACTGCGTTCAGATTCAAGGAGGAAAAACTCCTTTTAAATTTAGCGTTCGATCAAATCGATGTCAAAATGGACTAAATCAATTCAAACGGAGAAAATAATGAAGGTTTCAGTAAATTACATTGTGATCTACAATTCGGTTTGAATGTAAACTTAAAAGTGTTTTCACCGACAACAAACCAACAACAAACCAACAACTCACAAACAACTCACCGTGGAGGAAGAGGCGGTTTGGAATCCAAAAATCCACCAGTTTCCAGGTTTGTTCCTCACGCAGAACTGAACCACAGTGAGGAAGAGGAGGAAGAAAAGGAGGAGGAAGAGGGGGAGGAGGAGGAGGAGGGGGAGCTCCGAGGCTTAAAGGATCACGAGAAGCTTTTTTTTTTTTCCTTATTTGTAAAATCAGTTTTTTTAGGCCCGAGCGCCAGAGGCTGGCGAAGGAATGAAATGGCGCGACGTGACTCGCCCGTAGTGACCAGGGAGCCTCGACATGACGCAGCAATGCGCCAGAGGTGTATAGTTTGTCGGCCAAAAAAAAGCGGATTGTTCTCGTATCAGAATATTATTATCTTTCTTTCTTTCTTTCTTTATTCTTTCTTATTATTTTTTTCCTAACCAACTCACCCATTTTTCACCCACTAAACAATAACAAAAAGTCCTGGAAATTTTGTTCTTCGTTTCTTGCGCTTCTCCAACTTTTGGCTATTTCCATTTTTCAAAAATAAATACAATGGCTCGTCAGCGCCCCCAGTAGGGAATACGAATGAGGGCAAAAAAAATGTGCACGTAAAATCATGAAATTTCGATCATGTCAAGACAAAAATAAAAATATTATTACGCCAACACCGTGCGCTCCACTAGGGGGCAGCAATATTGTCTTTTGCTAAACTCAAATTTGGTCCACATTATCTCAAGACGTGGAACATTAAAACTTATCCACATTTTTCACACGTGTCTTACGATCTCTGAACAGTGAAGCAACAAATAATGCACACAATTTAGAAGATTTACAAATTGCTCCCATTTGCTCAAACGAACTCTGATTTCAATGAAATTTGAAACAGTTGTTAAACTCTCTGCCCTGAAACTACTTAATGTGAAAATTATTAATTTGGCGCATTAGCGCCCCCTATAGATTGAAACTAAATTTAATATAGAAGAAAATCATTTGTTCCCAAATAGTTGTTCCAAAATTTCTGAAATTTTGCACAGAATTCCATTTTAACATCCTGATGCAAAAGTCAATGACACCCGTGTCATATTTTTTATGGCGTTGCCATAGCGATGACATAAACTCTTCATGTTATTCCTTTGGTAAAATTGACAAATTCTGGCACAAACTTTGGCCGATTTCACTAAAATTTTAATCATGGGTTCACACCTCGACCCTGAACAGATTGATGTAAGAAAATACAAAAGTGGGTGCAATAGCGCCCCCTAGAACATTTGAATAGAACAATAACACTTTATTTGTCATAGATACACAAAATTTGATATCCACATTTGTGACATAGTCTCGATTAAAAACCTCAATGACGCCAAAACCCCATTTACGTTGTGTTGCCATGGCAACAAGCCAAAATTCTACCCTTGCCAATGGGACGTCCTTACACAAACTTTGGCATAGCCAAACCAAATTTGGTATCCAGATGCATCATGGGAATAAGAACGAAATTTCGAAATTTGCAGGGTTAGATTAAGATTTATAGGGTGTGCATCCATATTGAAGGCTGTACCAAGTGGTGAAGTTTCTTGAGTACATCACATGTGCATATTAAACATTGAAATTATATATTTGTTTGAGTAATACACATTGAGTTGTTTAACCACTGAAATCTTATGTATGTTTAAAGGTACCACTGTGTGAAACATGTTTGCTTTTGAGGTAATCCTTTGCAGATTTAGGTTGTGTCCTTTTAAGGAATTTCATTGCAGAGCAGCAGCTGTGGAGATGGTTCAGCCTGGTGCGAAACTAAACAAACTGGTGATTTACACTGGGCTGCTGTCAACCCCCCTGAACCTAAAGGAATGCAGAGATACTCCAAGGAAGATTCAAGGCGTTTCCTGTTCAACATCTTATTTGCATATTCATATGGATGTCTATAAAATCTGATTTGAGGTATTCAGAGGCGTCCAGATTTGCCTGATTTAAGACCTGTGTAGTCGTAGGCCGTCAGGGGTAGTGATCTGACCCAGAGCTCTGTATTAGAATTGTATTGTATAGGGAATAAATTCTTTTTGATTTTAATTGATCGATTCCAGTGGTTATTTTTGGAAGAACACGATAAATGGTTTTTTGAAGATACCTAACAATATGTATGAGATTGCAGTGTTTAAGCATTAACTCAATGTGTAACTTCATTAAACAATATATTGGTGACAGAGTTAGAGTTAGGGTTAGAGTGTTTAGCACTCATGCCTCACAGGAAGAAGGTTCTGGGTTCAATCCCGGGTCGCCCAGGGCCTTTCTGTGTGGAGTTTGCATGTTTCTCCCCGTGTCTGGATGGGTTTCCTCCGGGTGCTCCGGTTTCAAGGTCAGTTAAATCCAATCAGTCAATGGGATTACAGGTGGAAATTAGCGCTGGTGCTAGTGGCAATAACTGTGTCCTTAGGCAAGACACTTCACCCACATTGCCTAGTATGAAAGTGGTGTGTGTGTGTGTGTGAGTGATGGTGGTGGTCAGAGGGACCGATGGCGCCGATTGGCATGGCAGCCTCGCTTCTGTCTGTCTGTCCCAGGGCAGCTGAGGCTACAACAATAGTTTACCATCACCAGGTATAGAGTGAAAGAGTAATGCCGAATTATTCTCTGTAAAGAGTCTTTGTGACAAAATGTCTGTGAAAAGAGCTATAGAAATAAAAACTTACTTATTCAAACAAATATTATAAATTCAATGTTTAATATGCACATGTGATGCGCTCAAGAAACTTCACCACTTGATACAGGCTTCAACACCCACACTCACCCACACTCACTCACCCATACTCACCCACCCACACTCACACACTCACCCACACTCACCCACTCACCCACACTTCACCCACACTCACCCACACTCACCCACACACTCACACCACTCACCCACACTCACCCACACTCACCCACCCACCACACTCACCCACACTCACCCCACTCACACTCACCCACACACACTCACCCACTCACCACACTCACCCACACTCACCCACACTCACCCACACTCACCCACACTCACCACCACACCACACTCACCCACTCACCCTCACCCACTCACCACTCACCACCCACACTCACCCACACTCACCCACTCACCCACACTCACCCACACTCACCCACCCACACTCACCCACTCACACCACACACACCACACTCACACCACCACACTCACCCACACTCACCCACTCACCCCACACTCACCCACTCACTCACCCACCCACCCACATCACCCACACTCACCCACACTCACCCACACTCACCCTCACACTCACCCACTCACCCACCACACCACCACACTCACCCACACTACCCACATTCACCCACACTCACCCACTCACACTCACCCACACTCACCCACTCACCCACCCACACTCACCCACTCACCCACACTCACCCACCCACACTCACCCACTCACCCACTCACCCACACTCACCCACACTCACCCACACTCACCCACCCACCCACACTCACCCACCCACACTCACCCACACTCACCCACACTCACCCACCCACCACCCACCCACACTCACCCACACTCACCCCCACTTACCCACTCACCCACACACCCACACTCACCCACACTCACTAACCCACCCGCGCACCCATACTCAATCACCCGCACCCACCCGCACACAAAAACAACGGCGGCAGAGTGCGACGAGTCCACGTAAAACTAAACTTCAGGCTTTAGTGACGTCCAGACTTTTAGATCCATCCCCTCCTCACCCTCCACCTGAGTCTCCATTTCAGTTCAGTTACAAATAAAATCCATTTATGCCAGAAAACCAGAACCAGCCAGAAAGTCAGAAATACAGCAGAAAATGGTTGAAAACAAAGTTTAAATGTGCTGCCAACGTGCTCTTGTCTTCTTCAGGGTTTGTGTGACCTCTGTGGTTTAAAGGAGCATGTGGAACAGCAGACCACAGGAGAACTTCAGGAAGAGCAGCAGCGTCAAAGTCAAAGTGCCAAAAGTCAGTGCACACCGAGTCAAAAGGGTGAGCTGTGCTCGTAGATGTGAGTGGGGTTCTGTTGGAGTTCTGTTGGGGTTCTGTTGGGGTTCTGTTGGAGTTCTGTTGGGGTTCTGTTGGAGTTCTGTTGGGGTTCTGTTGGGGTTCTGTTGGGGTTCTGTTGGAGTTCTGTTGGGGTTCTGTTGGAGTTCTGTTGGAGTTCTGTTGGAGTTTTGTTGAGGCATTACAAAGTGCTCTACATGGTTTTGTTTTCTTGTTCAGTTAAATCAGTCTCTTATTAAACCCAAAGTTCTTTCTGTCCCGGTTCTTTGTGCGGCTCTGAACACAGACTCATGTTTTTCCTTTAGGAGGAGCTGAGTTTTACCATTGAGTCGCCTGTAGAGGGCGCCATCCTCGTTCACATAAAGTGTGTTCCACTGTCTTATTCCATGTCTTATTTTTACATCTGCTGCCTGTTTTTGAAAAACTTGGCCTTTGGGTAAATACTCAGAGTTTTTGTGGAGGACAAGAACAATAATAGAGTCTTTTTCTGGACTCTGGTTTGTGTGGGTGAGAGGGACTCACCTGGAGGATCATGTGAGTCTAAAGTCAGACTCAAAAAGGTGAAGATCAGACTCCAGAGACTCCAGACTGTGGAGCTGAGCTTGTCTAGTGTCAGAAATGACAAGTTTCAAATGATGTTTACATTTCTTTCTTTCTTTTTTAGGAAGAGGGTTTTAGTTGAAATGTGTCTGTCCCTTTCTTTGTTGTATTGAATGAAATCTTACTTTTGTTGTTGTGTTTTTTTCTGGCTGCTGCTGACTCTTGTTAGCAACAGATGTTTATTCTGTTCATGTCCAAAATCTGAAAATAAAGTTTTTTTCCTTTTTTAAATGTCAAGGAAGTTGAGAAACACATGAGAACCTGAAAATATTGTGAAGCTAAAATGTTGAACTAAATTCTGCAGAATATGAATTGTGTTTCTTTATAAACATCAGTAAATGTGATCGTTGTGACGCTGCTCAGAGGAAGAGTTCATGTTCTGACTCATGAAAAAGTTAAACTGACAAACAAAAACATCATTTAAAAGAGACGACAATAAATGCACTGACAGTATTTTGAAGGTTAAAAAACTATAATATCAAACCATAAGGTGAGTGGAAAGAGTTAACATTTCATATTTAGACCTAAAAGTCTTATCAACTCTACACATGTAGGTGTTGTAAAGTCATGGAAAATTCAATTTAGGTCATGAAAAAATCATGGGAAAGTTTAGAAATTTTGTCAGTGAAAAAGAGTGGGAACTCTGATACATTCTTGGAGTCGCCTCTTCATAGATCCGACCTGTAACTGTGGCCTCCAAGAAGACACAGCGTCGAACTGCGAAACATTCCAGGCAAAGCAATAACAGCTCCACGGAGATACGATCATAAACGATAAATGCTTTATGTTTTATCTAGACCAGAGACTTTTACAGATTCTTTTACAGTGAAAACAGTGTCCAGTTTTAGTCATGAGGTCCCGGTCAGGGCTGTGAGGTTGTGTCTCAGCTTGTGCAGTTCCTGGATCAGTAACGTCAGCTCTGTCGACGCTGTTTTCTTTTCTTTCACCGCCTCTGTCAGCATACGGATAGCGCCGCCCTGCTGGACTGTGGAGACAAGAGACAATTACTATTACACGTCATTATGAAGATTATTTTTATTCACACATTTGCAGTCAATCAAACGTAGGGCCTTCACTGCAAATTTCTTTGATCTGGCCAAGATTTTAAAACGTATATCAGGTTATTCATCTTGTTTTCAGATTTATTATCTTCGTATTAGTTCTGAGATGCTTTATTCTAGTCTAGAGGTCGTTCATTTTAAGATAGCTTGTCAAATAAAATCATTTGTCCATGCAGTAAGATTATTTCACTACTTTTAAGTCACTTTCTGATCGATTTACCGTACGTGTTTATATCTTAAGCTTTTGTTGCAGTGTATATTTTATGTGGCCCCCTCTCTGCCACCAGACAACTCCCATTATATAAACTTTAAAGGGGCTTTATCTGATTTTTACTGTCTTAAAAGACCCATATTACACTATTCTCTGATCTGTTATAATGTTTCCTCATCACAAACAGACCTGGAGTTGTGTTTTGTTTCATTCACACATGTTTAACACACAAACTCTGCATATTTAGGGTGAGTTATCCAATCAAATTTGAACGAAAGTAGAGAAAGTAGAGATGGGCATGATTAGTCGACTAACTGATAATTGATCATTAAGAATTTTGTTGATCATGTTAGTTTTTAAATGACAAACTGAATGTAGGTTACTGTCCCTAGCGTAAGGAGACGAGTTGCGGCCTCACAGTCTCAGGCTTGGGCTCTGGCTCTGTACCAGTCCCAGTGAGTGTGTTCACAGGTATGATCGGGTTTTTTGAGTATCCTGGTTTTGTCACAGTGCTTGTAGACGCAGTATCCTGGTTACTGCAACATAATGTTGAGTGCGCATGCGTCCAGTCTTTTCATCACAACAGAGGCCAAAATAAATAAAGTGACCAACATAAATAAAGTGAGTGAAATGATGTTAAATAAAGAGCTGTGCTAAACCTGCGCACGTCTGATCTCTGAAAACATGAACCATCTCCAACGCAGCACACACAGAACACACTCACCATCATCACACCATCATCATCATCAACATCCCTCTGTCACAGAAACAACACTCATATACCACAGAGTCGTGTCCTTTAGTCCGACAGAAGCTGAACCGCATCAGGGCTCAAAGAAAGCTGCTTTTTTCATTGCTTTTTGTTTAGGCAAATGAGCCATGCCGTTTTAAGTTTCTTTTCTGTGAGAGTTGCGCAAAGCTGCATTAAACACATTATAATCTCAAACGGGCTGATGTGGCTCTGTAGTGGTGATGGTTTTTATGCTGTAAAGTTGATCTTATTATTTTTTATTATTTATGCAGATTAGTAATAGTAATAATAATGATGATAATTTTAATATAAAAACGTTAATTTATTTATTTTATTTTATTTATTTATTTATTTGAGACAGGGACAGCGCACAATTTTCGCATTAACCTTGACAGGAGAGATGCATTGTACATCAGGTTGTAGCATCAGTGCTAATTTCCACCTGTCGTCCCTGGGCAGGTTCATTGATTGATTGTATTTAACTGACCTTGACTATCAGCTGTTCTGGAGACCTGTAATGATGAATCAAAAATTGATCAATAATCCTCCCAATGATCTATTAAGAAAATTTAATCGAATGCCCATCCCTAGTATCGAGATATGTATCGTATCGTGGCCTGTATATCGAGGTATGTATCGTATCGGCAACTTCTTAATGATACCCAGCCCTGGTCTGCATCGAATTAGAAAGCGTTTTTTGTCTGATGATCAGGAAGTGTACTGTTAGCATGCTACTTGTTATTAGGTGGGCGACAGTAGCTCAGTTGGTTGAGCGTTTGTCCACTGATCTGAAGGTTGGCGGTTTGAATCCCTCTGTCAATGTGAACATCGTTGGTTGTGGTCAGATCTATTGTTCACTGGTGTATGACTGGGTGTTTACGTGAGTGTTTCTTTGATAAAAGCGCTTTGAAGGCGGAGAAGTGTTGTATAAAAATTTGTGCTGTCATGCGATTAAAAAAATTGAGAGATTAATTAATTATGATCTGTAATTAATTAATCTAATTAATCTCATTTTAATCTCACCTAAAAATTGCTGAGAAAAGCTTCAATTTGAGGTATTTTCATTTAAATTCATTATTACATTATTGTGGCAGATCAAAAGACTGATATAGATTAAAAAAAGTGACTTTATAAAGTCATTTATTGTTTTAACAAATCTCTCCAATTTGGCTGTTGAGCCCAAGTCTCCATGAATAAGAAACTGTTTGCTGTAAAGTAGCAAAGACGAGGAAATCTGAACATAATAACTTTTGTTTAACTTAAAGACAATAAAAAGTCCAGTCTTTCCTTAACCAGATTAAAAATATTATTGATAGAGAAATGCTTTATATATGAGATCACTGGTTTTAGTCCTTGTTTCAGTCCTGGTTTAGATCTGCTTTAGTCCTAGTTTAGTCCTGGAATGGATTAATCCTGTTTTAGTCCTGGTGTTAGTTCTGGTTTAGTCCTGGTTTAGACCTGGTTTAGACCTGGTTTTAGTTCTGGTTTTAGCTCTGGTTTAGTCCTGGTTTAGTCCTGGTTTAGACCTGGTTTAGACCTGGTTTTAGTTCTGGTTTTAGTTCTGGTTTAGTCCTGGTTTAGTCCTGGTTTTAGTCTGTTTAGTCCTGGACTGGATTAGTCCTGGTTTAGTCCTGGTTTAGACCTGGTTTAGTCCTGGTTTTAGTCTTGGTGTTAGTTCTGGTTTAGAGGCACAGGAGGAAGCGCGGTTTACGCCGCGTACGCGAGAAAACACGATCCACACGCGGCTCACGGGAGCACGTCTGTGTCCACGCAGTGTCTACGGAAGGAAACGTGGTCCGTGCGTTCTCAGGTTGATGACGATGATGAAGGTGTGTGTGTGTTTGTGTGTTGTGTGTGTTTGTGTGTGTGTGTGTGTGTGTTTGTGTGTGTGTGTGTGTGTGTTGTGTGTGTTTGTGTGTGTGTGTGTTTGTGTGCGTGTCCCCTCATGTGGCAGGTCACTATAGGACAGTAGTGCAGACATCATGAGTCTATGCAGGTTGTTTTCAGGCGATTTTATATTTGTTATTTTCTTTTATATTTCACGTCGGGAGAATAATTTCCAAGACACAAATGTGTTTTTACCTGTGCACTGCTGCCTCTGTTCTACTGGCTCTTCCACCTCGTCCATTGTGCGACTGACGCCGCCAACGTTAACATGACGTTTACATCGCTCTTACTGCGCGCGTTTTGTGTGGGTTTCCGGCAATGAGTGGAATTACCGAAATAAAAAAAATTATAATGTGTTTTTTTTGTGTGTGTGTGTGTTATTGTCCCAACAACACATAAAAACAGGTTTTATAATAAAGCAACTCGCATACAGAAACAGTAAAATTAGAGATTAAAAATGAGATTAACACGATTAAAAAACATAACGCGCTAAATATGACTGTAATTAATTAATCGCAATTAACGCGATAATTTGACACCCCTAATAAAAATGTGACCATTTAACATTTTGGCTTTACCGTGACAACAAAATTTCACATTGTGGTCTCTGAAAGTTGTAAAAAGTGCTTAGAAACTCTGTTGTGAGTAATTAAGAGTCTCAAAATGCATAAAGTAAGTGAGGAATAACTTTGCAAACTACTTAAAATGAAATAGTTCTGTTTTTCATGTTTTTATGACAGTAAAAATCAGGTTCTGTGCCCTTAAGACTTCGTAAAGACACATTTTCTTTAACATCTCTCATTATTATTATTATAGTTTTTGTTTTTTTTTAAGAATCAGTGCCCAATAGCTCAATACATTTCAAGATAATCTAACAAAGATTTACCTAAGAAGTAGAAGATGAGGAGCACGGTGAGCAGCAGCAGAGTGACGATGGCGCAGCCCAGAGCGTAGGCCCGCGACGAGGTGGGCGTGAACATGTCCTGGAGCCGCCTCTGCCACGAGCTGATCGGTCGAGACGTTTGATTGACAGCCAAGGCGTCGAAGCAGTGCAGATTTCCATTTAGAGACGGAGTGTAGGCGGGACGAGGAGGTCTGACTGTGAGAAGAGAGAAATAAAAGAACAATATACAGATAAAATAAGTGTATATTTTCTGTCATGATTTGTGCTGATTTGTAACTTTAAAGGTCCTACAGTACGCAAAATTGCCTCTCGTGAGCTTTAAATGTTGTTACCTCTTTAAAAACATCTGGAGTTGTGTTTTGTTTCATTCATACAGGTCCACCTTGTGATGTCATCAAGTTAAAATCTCCTTTTACCATTAGTTCAGTAGATATGGGCATTTCCAGGGCTGAAATCATCCAAATGATTCTAGTGAAGGTGCATGGAGTTTAAAATCACAGAGGAGCACTTCTTGTATTACCACGACATCACAAGGTGGAACAGAGTGTTTTCAGTTTGAAAGAAGAACTCAGCCTAAATATGCAGGATTTGTGCATTAAATGTGTGAATGCACTGGAAAAACCAATATTTAGGTAAGTTAAAATGACTTAAGTTAAGAACGTTTTACTTTATTTGAGATGATTAAACTTCACAAGTAAAATTATCTACCAGTGGAATAAGTGTGTTTTCTTTATTTAAGCAACATTCGATTTTGTTTGTTATTTTAAGTGCAAAGAGTTGTTGTTTTTCTTAATTTAAGAAATTCATCAGCCTGTTTCACTTCGTAGAAACCGTCTGACCTCGCAGCATTAGGATTCATTCGCTCGACTGGAGACGGGTACTTTTTTTTATTTAACCAATCGCTGCTATTTGGTCGTGACATTTGTAATGCGCCAAATCCCGTAGGAAGAAGGGCAATAACGTCTTTCCCCTTGATAAAATTCACTAAACATTCTCTTTGCTCCGGCTTTAAATCCTCGATCTCGGGAATCGTTGCCAACACAGAGCGTCTGTCTTCGTCTACATCCATCTCGACCGCTTTGTTTACTGTTGTGCTGCACCACAAAGGGACCCAGACAGACGCTTGAGTTTGACGTCATGGCTTCACAGCTCTTTGCTGATTGGCCAGTGCAGGATCTACAACTTCCTGGGGTTCTTGCAAACCGTCTAATGTATTCTGATTCCTGACCTAGTCGCTAGAGAGAAATGAAATTGAGCGGAGGCACTAGGTGGCAACAGCCTAGCTAGAATTTTTATATTTTAAGTACAAAACGTCTTGACACTGACAGAAAATTGTACTATTTTTTTGTGAAATTTACTCAAATCATGATGAAACTTTCTTAATTCAGGTCAAAACACAACTCCGCACTGCAGATTTCTCTGATGTGGCCAAGATTTTAAAACTTATATCAGGTTATTCATCTTGTTTTCAGACTTATTATTTACTTACTAGTTCAGAGACGGCTTAATTCTAGTCTAGAGGAAGTTTATTTTAAGATCATTTGCTGCATGGACAGATAATTTCACCAATTTAAAGCCATTTTCTGATAGATTTAAGTGTTTATATCTTAAATTTTGGCCATGCTTTTTTGCAGTGCAGGTTTGTTTGTTGATGAGGAAACAACATTATAACATAGATCAGAAAATACTGTAATATGAGCCCTTTAAATAGTTCTCTTCTATAAAAGCTACACTTAAGTATGAGTGTTACCAACCCTGCGTCACTATACAAGTCACTAATGGGCCAATTATATTCTCTCTGTGGGTTCAAATATGTCGATTTTTTAATTTTTGATCCTATATGCTTTTTATTAATGTGGCCATACGTTCTTTGAAGCTAAACAACGAATGGGAGACCGTTGGGCAAGACACTTCACCTTTGTCTAGTGTAAATGTGGTGTGTGTGTGTGAGTGACTACAGTGACTACAACTGTGGCTACAATCATAATATTTAGCGTTTTTATCAGTAGAGATGAAATGTATTTTTAAAATCCAAACTAAACTACATCCACGTGCTCTGTGTGTGGTTCTGTTTACCTTTGTGGTTGTGGTCCGGGTGGGTGCGGTGCAGGTCGTTGATGGAGTCCACAGAGTGCAGCTCGATCTCCGTCAGGTCTCTCTCACTCACTCTGTAAAACTGAGGAGTCGTCTGGGAAGAGGGAGGCCGGGACATCTCCACTGGACTAAACACAAACACAAAATCACGTCATCACACGGCAAAAAAAAGACCATCAGTTTAAGATATAAACACTTAAATCTAGCAGAAAATGGCTTTAAAGTAGTGAAATTATCAAGATCATTTTACTTGACATCTTAAAATAAACTAGTTTAGTAAGTAAATAATAAATCTGAAAACAAGACGAATAATTTGATTTAAGTTTTAAAATGACCTCTGGGTTAGTCCGTATGAAATCAGCCGTTTTCAAGGAATCTCCCCTGTGAGCCATCTCAAATTTGGCTGAAAAAAATTAAAAAATATCCTAAAATCACCAAATGAAAGAATCTCAAATTTTAGCTCAATCCCTTGAGTCGTTCCTGAGTTATGGCCCGTTGAAATTTTGGGCCATGCTCACTTTTTCGGAAGCCTTAATTTATAATCATGTTTGAGAGACCAGAACTTCATAAAAAAACAGAGCTAGGAAGCTGAAAATGTTGTGTCATTGTAGATTCTTGGTCATAGATTCTGAATCTGTTGTCAAATATCTTTATTGAGGGGGGTGCTGTGGGCCCCCAACAATCTCACATTTGGTTGCTGCTCAGTTTTTTTTGTTTTGTTTTTTGTTTTTTTGAGGTCCAAGATCTATTTACTCCAAGAAGATATTTACAAACTAACTGTTGAACCTGAATATTTAAGAGAATGACCATTTCTGACACAAATCTCACACTTTTCTGAGCGTTCATGTGGACGGTGTCGAGTCCCAAATATGTTCACAGACCAAATGTGATCTTTTTGGCCCCTTCTTTGGACCCTCAGTTCCTCATGTGGGTACAGTTAGATGTTGATAAAAATGTTTACCAGAGAAAACTTTGGCATATTTGTTAGAATAATTATATATGTTATCCCATATTTTCTATGTTATTGTTTTTGTGTGAATAATGTTTGTGTTTAATAACTATGCAGTGACCTGTCAGCCACTCTGCACACCGCTAAAACAATGACTTATTCAGCTCTTTGCTGGGAAAGAGGACGGCTCTCGAGGTTGGCAGAAAGGAGGGGACGTGCTGTTCCTCAAGATGCTACAAAGATGCTACACCTTATCGACCACCTGCTGCTGAATATACATATTTGCACAATGTTATTATGTCTGATGTTTCTACTGTTTTTCGCTGTTTTCAACCCCTCCCTTTAGAGAAACATTCATTGTAACTAGGGACCCTCTTATGACAATAAAAAGAGGAGACGCAGAGAGTGCATCAGAGCGGGTACACTGAAAAAACGGTCCGAGAGGGGTTGCTCAAATTGCAAAAACAAATTTGACAACAATAACATGACTTTTTTACGTTTCTCTGTCCAGCATGTTTAAATCTTACAAACATCGCTTGATTGTGGTCGATGTGAGACCTGCATGTTTTAATCAGGTTGAGGAAACATGACTTTATTATAATCTGTGGTGAGGCTCCTCCCTCTGGAATTCTCCTCCCCAAAACTTTTGGAGGGAAAATTCAAATGCAGCAGGACACAGGACAGATCCAGGAGCAGAGACACACAGTGTGGAGCAGGAGGATTATGAAGCTGATCTGGAGGTGAGACTTTTCAAAGATTTTATTATGTGCCTAGAATGTCGTCATTGTTAAAACATGTTTGTGTTGTTTTATTTGAAATTAGAGTTAATGTAAGGACTGTTTCCTTGAAACAAATTGTATTTGACTGTCCATCTACAAGAGTGTGACAGTTGTACTAAGATTTGAATGTGTTTGTTCCAGAGTCGTCTACAAACACAGAGTGACGTCCAGGTTCTGCTGGAGCTGTGGGGAAGTTCATGAATGTTACAGCTGATGTTTCAGGAAAAAGGAAGATGTTTGAGAACCAACAAAACACAGACCACAGATGAACAAAGTAAGTAAACCAACTAAAATTATTTTAAATTTTTTCAAAATGAACTTCCTATTGAAACTGTTATCGTACTTGTACAAGGTGATGTGGCATTAGGAGACTTTATACCAGATGCCCTCCCTGTTACTGTGTTTAGAGGAAGAAAAACAGCACATGGTGAGTTTTTGTTTCTGCAGATACACTTCTAATGTTTTTGTTCTTCTGTTCTGGTCCATTATTGTAGTAATAAGTACTTTAAGTGTATTTAAACATGTACAACAGAGTAGATCATCAGAATGTGATCATCATGTGTTATTCTGTGTCCACAGGCAGAGACCAGAGCTTCTTCACTGGAATAAATCTTCACACTGTCCAGCTCCAAACTGTGTGTCTGTCCCTGTGTGTTTGATTCTGTTTAAGACAATACAGAACTGTGGAAAAACTAAAGACTGTTTTTGTATTCTTTTAGATCTTTTTTAGATCAATTAAATTAAATTATACATACTTATACATTTCATGATAAGGTACCATAAGATAAATATGCATATTCAGCATGATTTGTTCAAATTTGATCAACATGAAAAAGTGATGTTCATGTTCCGAGAAAAGTATGTGTAGAGGGGTTCGAAAAAAGTTTCAAAGCCTAAACATAATTTTATTGCGTGCAACCGCTTTCCATAACTTTTTTACGCAAATCCAGCAACTTTTTTTTTCAGTGTAGAGACTGTAACGGTAAATGCACTCTCTGTCCACCCTCCTCATGAGAAAACGATATTAATCTCTTGTCTTTCTTCTTACTTTTACAATGTTTAGGTGGGCTTAAACCTGACAATATTTCTTATCATCATGAGTCACTGCTTATGTTTGTATAAGATCAACAGGGAACAAAAGAGTTCAATTTCAGAGTGTTTTATGATTATTCTACAACCTACAGTAAATACATCATGTTCAATATTCTTTTCTTCAAACATCCTTTTTTTCCTTATTTGAAACATGTTGGACTTTTAAAACAAGCTCCAGTGGTGCAGTCGGTCAGCGTGCGGTACTTATAAGACAGTGACCTGCAGAGTGATGCTGAGGTTGTGAGTTTGAGCCTCACCTGGAGCAAGACTTTAATTGAACTACCATTTTAAATCTGAAAATAATCCACAACTTGGTAAAAGCTGCACAAGTGTGAGTTACATGTTGAAATAGAATTCAGGGTGTCATTTTGTCTCACTGTATTAAACATCCTGTAACAATCACCAAGACCTATAAATATGGATTTGAATCATGTCCCAAGTTTTCTGCTTTAACTCTTTTTACAACTGTGCCTCCATCTGATTGTTGTGATGGAAGACAGTCACCTGCAGAGTCTCGCCTGAAGCAGTAATATTACTTCAGATAATGAATCTACTGATATATTCTTAATAACAATTCAATGTGGAAGGTGGTTTTAAAAGTTACTCTACAGCACAGGTGTCAAACATACGGCCCGGGGGCCAGATCTGGCCCTCCAAGACCTTTAATGTGGCCCTTGGGTGATTTTCTACTAAAATATTTTAATTATATTTTCTATAAAAATCTTGTTAATTTTCTGTGGTGTTTATCACAGCAGCGTCTCCAGCGTCTCTGTACGTGGCCCCTCCCACCAGAGCAGCACAAATGAAGACTTGTCTCTTTCCAAACGCTCTTAAAGGACGATCGTTTTGACTGTTGACCGTGACACCCTCATCAGAAAAATGTCCAACATGAGAAAAGTGGAGCCGAGTGCAGGATTTTACAAAGAAAAATTGGACTTATTCCTATTTACATACAAGTTAATGTTAAAACACATTGTGTTGAAATTGTATTTTTCTTAAAGTTTCAGGTTGTTCATAATTTTATAATATTATAATAAGAAAGAGTTCATCAATTAAAAAAGATTTCTGTAATAGATTTGTGTTTCTCTGCACAAATATTTGAACTTATTGTTATTTTTGGGGTTTATATGACATGAGTTTTCTGATCCGGCCCCTTTAGGATCAAAGTAGGTTGGATACGGCCCCCGGACCAAAATGAGTTTGACACTCCTGCTCTACAGTATTGCAGTCTTGCCATAATTCTATGCCTATGTTTAGATAAAATTATCAGGGAATGAAAAATAAAAAGTGAACTATGATTATTTTACAACTCAAATATTCAGCAGTTTCCTGTTTCACTTCCCTCTTCCGCATCCATTGTCTTCTATTTTACATTTTCTTCATGATATTTGGGACGTTGGGACTGATGTAATGTACTGATGTACTTATAAGACAGGGACCTGCTGAGGTTGTGAGTTCGAGCCTCACCTAAAGTAAGTGTTTATTTAAATTAACACTTTAAAACCTGAAAATAATCCACAACTTGGGAAAAGCTGCACAAATGTCCAGGAGCATTCATTAAAGGGCCCATATTATGTTATTTTCTGATCTGTTATAATGTTGTTTGCTCATCAAAAACATACTTGGAGTTGTGCAAAAATGTGGGAGAGCAGGAGGGCTACTTGGATGTACAGAAATTGTGCAAAATTGTCCTTTTGGTGCTCTTCAGTGTAGGGATCAGTTTCAGATACAAATTTGAAAAAGCTGAGGCACTCAAAAAGTACAAAATAATTAAAAACCTTTAATACTACATGGAAGATAAAGTCAACGTGTTTTAATCCTTCTCCCTTCATCGGGGAAAACCTTGTGTTTTGTTTCATTCACACATGTTTAACACAAGTCCTTCATATTTAGACTGTTTGAGAGTTCTCCTCTCAAACAGAAAACTCTCTGATCCACTTTGTGATGTCATGTGGCGATACAGGAAGTGCTCCACTGTGTTTTTAAACTCCATACACCTTCACTAGAAACATTTGGATGATTTCAGCCCTGAAATTGTCCATCTCTGCTTAACTAAAGATAAAAGGTATCTGTTTGAAGTTCAGTTCAGAACTGAAGAAGCAGCTTGGATGCGAAACGTCTTCAAACAAACTACCTTTTGTCCACTCAACAAACTGAATTTTCTCCTCGCCCTGGATTCTACCTGGACGACTGACGGATTCTTCACGTATCTGTTTGAAAACAACACCTTCATCAGCTACATCACAAGGTGGAACAGAACATTTTGAGCTTTGGAGATGTAAACAGACTAATAATAAAGTCTTACTCATGTGTCAGTGAAACAAAACACAACTCCAGGTCTGTTTTTGGTGAGATAACAATGTTATAATATGACTTAAAGCTCAAAAGAGTCAATTTTGTGTAATATAGGACCTTTAAAGAACGTCTGATTCTTCGAAATGACTTTGGACCAAATTGGTGATTTACGTAAACCTACCACAGAGCTACGAATGACGCTAAATATTTTGAAGGAGCCACTATTAAAAACACACGCACTATATTTGGGGCGTTGAGTTCAAGCCAAGAGAACTCAGAGTACCACATGACATAAAGGACATGTGCAGACAGACGGACAGACGCGGCTTCTCGGGGTTTGGTTTTGTAAAGACGTATGACATAAAGTAAAAGAAAAACGCTTTATTATTTTATCATAGACATTTGGAGTTCATGACGATTTATACCACAGTTTATGTAAGTTTTGGGGAATGTTATTTCAAGATTAATTTGGTTCTGGTAAATGTAGTACTCATTTTTTTGCTTTCTCACATTTTACAACAATAAACTTGAAATCAAAAGTGGGTAAAGTAACTCCTAAAATAACTCATCTTTATTTAAATCCACAGTGTGCAGTCTTTTAACCAAAAATAGACTGAAATCAAAGCATGTTTTTATTTATTTATCTGCTTAAAATTGCATTGCGTTGCATTAAAAATCTTAGAAAAACGTGAATTTTCTGAGTGGGCTTGCATCTCCACAAACCTGACTCTCATATGGCCTAGAAATAATGGAAATGTAGTTCTTTTGGTTACAATTTTCCACAATGTATAAACAGAATCTAACTCCACGGAGAATGTTTCAAAGAATTGTTTTAACTTTCTGTTTCCACTGAATTATAAAGTCAACCTTCAGAAAGTTACACACTGTACCTTTAAATCTGTGACACGAATAGTTTGACATTTTTTTTGCGATTTCCTGAAGACTAAACAAACAGTCAGTGTTCTTATCAGGTCTATTATTAGATCGAGTCCGGTGTCTGAGGACGTGTGAATGGAGTTTACTCTGTGGCCGTCGACCCGCCCGCAATCACCGAGAAAACAGAATGAATGAACACGTGACACTTACCGTAAACAGAAGACAAAGTTTGGGCTGCTTCACTTCTCCAAAAAGACAATTTTAAAAGAGATTTGTGTTCAGGGATTCCAGAAAATGTCCGAGGATTTAGAAAAAAAAAAAAAAAAGGTGATTTAGTGGTGGTTTGGTTTTTTAAATGGATGGAGTCCCGGTGAAACAGTGGAGCATGTTGTTTTGTTGGAGGTCCGAAAGCAACTGGTGTCCCCCCCGTCCCTGCAGGAGACGGACAGAAATAGAGGAGGACAGGAGGAGATATTATTAGAGACAGAGACAGTCCAAAGCATGAGTCAGGACGAGAGAGGGGAAGGAGGGGTAACCTGCTTCACCCCAAAGTGAAAAAAAAAAAGAAAAATCTGTAAATTAATTGTAAATAATAAAATTACTGTGTTAATGTTAGGTTTATCTAAACATTAAAAACAAGAAGAAAGACAAGAGATTAATTCAGTTTTACTCATGAGGAGAACGGGCAGAGAGTGGGCATCAAAACCAACAGTCTCCACACGTTCTGATGACTCAAGGCCGTTCTCCTCTTTTTATTTCATTAGGAGGCCCTAGTTACAGAACGATAATTCTCAAGGGGAAGGGGAAACAGCAAAGACATAATAAGAAACTGATGCAGCTATGCATAGTATAAACACATAAAACATGATTAACAATCAGGAGGTGCCTTAGGTCAGACACCATCATAACTCTTCATGTGTGACAGTGGGAGTTGGCTTCATGTGAGGAATCATCTCGAGGTTCACAAGAGCGATAGGACACTGCACACAGTTGTCAAACACACAGAGGTTATTCAACAAGTGACAAGTGATTGGTACATTATAAATCAAAGAATTGTAGTACATAAATGGTTAACTCATAGGCCTAGAATATCACACAAGTATTTAGCAAATATGGGATAATAAAATTATTCTGACATTTAATTTAAGCACCGCTGAGCAAAGACTTTTTGTCAGTTTTATTAGTTTAAACCCTCTCCAGGCAGGCGTTGCAGATTTGCAACAGATAAATTCCACTTACTACAAATCCATATTTTATGAGCTTTTTTTACTCAGGAGCCTTTTTTTCCATCCATGCTGATAAACGTGGACGATGCAGACTGTGCAAGAATGACTACACACAAACGACCTGCCAGAAGTGCAAAGTACTTTTGTTGTTTACAAAGGATAAAAATTGTTTCTTTGAGCACCACACGAAAAAGTGATTTTGATTGTTGTTCTGCCATTGTAAAGCTGTTACACTGTGCTTTTTGTTTTCATTGTTATGAAAAGTAGTATAACAAATAAAGTCTTCAGTGTTAATTTACCACATCGGGCCAATGTTGCAAATCTGAAACATCCCAGAATGCATTGGATGTGAAGGTCTCTCTCCAAAAAAAAAAAGGATTGTATATTACTACCCCATATGATCATTTTCCCCAAATATCAGATTTTTCCTGTTACTAAAATTTAATTTAAGCCTGAGAGGGTTAATATTCTGCTTAGCTGCATTTGATTTGTCTGTTCATTGCTCTGGCTTTAATTATGCTTTGTCATGGTATCGTCCCACCACTGTCATCAGATAATTTTAGCCTAATGTCACCGTAACTGCACTCACTGAAATAACCTCTAAATGAGTAAATACAGGCCTTTTAGTAATATAAGGGCCCGGTCAAGCAGAAGTAAACAACAAGGCCAAAAATTCAAGTTAATGCATCTGATATAAAAATGTATTGAACAGATACATATGTACTCTAGTTTATGAAACTGTTGACCTTTTTTCTGTACCATTTTTGGTTCTAAAGTTACATACGTTTTAAACAGACCATGTATGAAACATGGAACAAAAATTATTTCCCAAATTTCAAAAACCTGCAAATCATGTAAATAAATGGATGTATTTCATCATATCTTGTGTTATTCCATCTTTGAACTGTTGATGAAGGTACATGATTTTTCCCCCCAAAAAATGTATTTAAAATGATAAAAATTTGCTTGGAAGGACTGACATATTTTATAGAAATAGTTTCCTTTCATTTTTAAGTAATATTAAAGTATTCAGAAGAAAAAGTTGACAAATTATGCTGAATTTAAACTGAATTTTACATTTGTGGATGTAAAATTTAGCAAGACATAATATTAAGTTTACAGAGTTTTTCTTTTTTATTTTGTAGTCGTACACCAAAAATGATAAAAATGGGGACACACGTCCAGTGTTGGGGAGTAACAGATTACATGTACCGGAGTTATGTAATCAGAGTACAAATTATGAGTAACTGTATTCAGTTACAGTTACTGTTTCAGTGAGTGGTAATTGGATTACAGTTACTTTGTTGAAATAAATGGATTTCCTGTTTTCACATTTGGGGCTATATCCCTTTTTTGTTTTTTTTTTGTTTTTTTTGGTAATTCCACTCATTGGTGGACACTAAACCAGTTCTAAAACCAGGTCTAAACCAGATCTAAACCAGGTCTAAACCAGGACTAAATTAGGATTTAAACCAGGTCTAAACCAGGTCTAAACCAGGACTAAAACCAGGTCTAAACCAGGTTTAAACGAGGTCTAAAACAGGATTTAACAGGACTAAACCATGCTGCGTGGACTGTGTCTCCTCGTCTTCTATCAATAATATCTTTAATCCGGTTAAATAAAGTCTGGGCTTTTTATTTTCTTTTAGCAGACAAAACATCTTATGTGAAGATTTCCTCGTCTTTGCTTCTCTACAGCAAATCCAGTAATCCAAAGTATTCAGATTACGTTACTCACTTTAAGTAACATAATGGATTACGTTACAAACTACATTTTGGTGTATGTAATCTGTAATCTGTAGGGGAATACATTTTAAAAGTAACACTCCCAACACTGCACATGTCAATCTGGGTTTGACGTGTGTCTGTGTCTTTAAATAAATCCTGGCCTCTCTCCAGACTCCATTTCCCAGAATCCCCGGTGTTTCATGTGTTTTGAGTCGAGCAGCAGCAGCAGCAGCAGCAGCAGTAGCTCCAGAGCACAAACTGGAAAACCCACCGCGTTTTACGTCCAGCTCCACGTTCAGAGGCACGTTCAGCAGCACGCGACATGTGGGCCCGGAGTGCACGCGGGGCCCGGAGCCTGGAGCTCGCGCTGCGGGGTTCGCTCCAGAGACCTGCTCGGAGAGAGGCGTCATCTGCGGCCGAGGTGAGCGCACTCTCACCCGGGCAACCGCCACGGGATGAGCGGGGGGAATGTGGAGGAGTGCGGAGGAAGTTTGAGCTAACCTAGAAACGAACTGATAAAAAATAAAAACACAGCAAAAACTAAATAAAACGATTAAAAACGCTTTATTTAAATTTTAATTCATTCATGGAGTGACTTTCTCTGCAAAAATACACAAGTTGTTCCAAATTAATGTCACTGGTTAAGCTCTAATTGAGTTATGGCCTAATGTTTTGAGCTGCACAGAAACTTTGTGCAAGCTTAGATCATTTATTACCCAACTTCACTCACAAAATATGAGGTTTAGAAAGCTCTTAACAACTTGTCTGAACGTGCCCACTCACAAAAATTAATATTAAAACCGCAGTCTGTTACATTCCCCTGCCAGAAACTGTCCTTGGGCAAGACACTAATTTATCTAAACTTGGATTGTGTAACTTTTCTAGCGGAGGATCTGTCAAATGCTTTGCTTCATGGAGATTTTACTGCTTTGGTGTGACATTAAACCTTTCTATCTTCATGGAGACCAAACCAGACCAAGTTACAGGTCAGATCCGTGGAGAGGCGACCCCGCTCACCGTCAGAATGCCTGATTTTCAAGGCACTTTTGAGCTATAAAACCACCTGTAATTGAATAAATGTAAGGTAGAGCTGTTTAATGTCATACTGCGGAACATTCCAGACAGAGCAATGACATTTCCATCCAGAGAAACAAGCAGGTGACAGACCCTCAACCAGAAAAGTTACAAGGTGAATCTTTAACTGTGTGGATGTGTGTGGCAGTGATTGGACCATTGGCACAGGTTTTTTTTATTTTTATTTTTTGAATGAATGAAAGTTTATTCAGACAGTAATGCAAAGAAAACGCAAATACACAGATAAAATACAAAAAATAAATTGTTCGGTAACACTTTATAATAACTACACCTTATTTAGCCTTAATAAAGCATGAACAAAGGCTTAATTAATAATGAACAAAGATTTAATTAATAATGATTCACGCTTAGTAACTACTTAATTACTACCTTAATTCGCACTTGGACTTAATTTGCCTGTGCTGTAAATAGTTACTCATAATTATTTCATACTTAATTACTCATGAACTAACCATTTGAGCATTTATTAATCATTAGTAAACTATGAGAGAATGATTTACTAATAATGCAATGCAATGATAATTCAGGCAGCTGTTATCTGTTAGTTAAGTCTTTTTGAGAGATTTTCTAAAGTGAAGACAAATTATGCTTTATTAAGCATTTACTAAGCGTGAATCATTATGAATTAAATCTTTGTTCATTATTAATTAAGTCTTTGTTCATGCTTTATTAAGGCTAAGTAAGGTGTAGTTATTATAAAGTGTTACCAATAGTTCTTTTCTATAATAATAATAAACAAAATAAATGTCACACAGATTTGACTTGTGTCTGAAAGAGGAGTGGGAGTTTGACAGCCGTGTTTCTGCAACTCGAAAACTGAAGTATCATTTTTACCATTAGGACCAAATAAAATTGTGTGAAGTTATGTTTAGAAAAAATGGAGAGTATTATATAGTAGAGGTGTAACGATATCCAAGTCTCATGATACGATATTGTCACTGTATGATCCTCATGGGACGATATTTATTGCGATATTTTGTGGGGGAGAACAAAACTGTATGCTGCTTTTTCCTCTTAAAATGCCTTGACAAGACTTAATCCAAAGAACTAAGACTTAAAAGTGCTTAGAAATGTTATTTCTTCTTGTAGTCTGCACTGAAATGGAGCAAAGGATCATGGTCTATGTAGTTCCCTTTGTCTTTTTTTAGCTGCTGCTGCACCATAACTCTTAATTTAAGCAAAGAGACTTGTGATTCGATATATTGTGACGGTCCATGATATTATTGTGAGAACTGTGACGATACGATATCCAGGGCTGGGTATCATTCAGAATTTGCCGATACGATACATATCGCGAAACTTAGGCCACGATACGATACATATCTCAATACAGTGAGCTTATGATTCAATATAATTCAATAGGATATATAATAATCTATAAATCGTGGCTGTGATACTAAAAGTCTTTCTTAAACCACTTCTTGTGCAAAGTTCATATGAAACACAAACATTTTAATCATCAAAACAGTGAAAATTTCAAATGTGTCGCATAAACAAGTTTCCTTCCTCTAAACAATCAACAAAACTGTAGCTGTAACAAAATAATTTAGTAAAATACACCAAAAAAAAAAAACACTTGGGGATATATATCGATACAGCAGCCCACAATATCGATACTGTATCATCACATTAAACTATACGATATATTGATATTTCAGTATTTCTGCACACCCCTAACGATATCACAATATTTCAGTTATTGTTACATTCCTATTATACAGCTTGAACTGGGGTTTATATTTTCAGTAATTTACATTTTGACGTTGTGTAGAAAACTAGTTGTATCCATGACTCTTTTCTGTTCATAGTTTAGTAGCTTGCAAACATTTTGAAGACTTTTTCCCATTCAAAACGTATAATATTTGGTTTTAAATCGTTAATTTCTATGCCAATGGTCCTAATTTCTCCTAATTCTGAAAGCCGTGCATAGACTGAGATTGAGAGAGTAACATCTGGCATTTTTCTACTTCACTGATTTAATGAAAAACATGGGTCACGTGCACATTTTTCAACGTCGAATGAAATATTTTACTACTACTCTCTCGTCATATTTGTGTTGTTTGAAAATGTGTAATAATACGGACTTTATAGTATCAGTTTCTGTCTGGGCTGTGGTCGCTTAAACGCTGACTTTGCACTTGCAGTGTATCCCATGGTGCACTGCAACTGAGCCCTTTATTCCTACGATAAGCCCCCCTCTCAGGTTCAAAGGTCAAGGTTCAGCTGAAAGAACAGTACAGGAGTTAGATAATACGACAGAGACTGATTTACTACAGTCACTGATAATGGAAGAAAGCGTTGTTATCTCGTCAACAAGTCTAGTTTGATAATAAAAATGAATCGTTTTTAATAGCTAATGTACTAAACCTTTCACGATAAACACTGTATTGACTTATCGTTCAATATATAAAAGATGACACAATTATTTTTAGGGGTCAGTGTGTGTCGTGTGTACGTTTTGTTTGTACTAGTGGGAAACTTTAGGTTATTTTTTGGCAATATCAGTAAGATTAGAACTGTAGAAAGCTGAATTATGAATGAATGAATGTCTATGACTCATTATGGACACAAATTTAGTTTTATAATGCAGCCAGTCTACTTTTAATTAGGGATGGGCATTTGATAAAATTTTCTTAATAGATTGTCGGGGGAATTAATGATCGATTATTGATTAAAGGTTGTATGGAGGATTTTTTTTTGTTTCAAATTGTCGATGAAAGTTCAAAATAGAATTATAGAGATGCAGCAGCCTTGTAATTATGATGACCAAAAAAAAAAGAATGAAAATCTATCAGCTGTGGACGTGGTGGGGGCAGATAAACATGAACCAATAGATAACAAGGCTACCTCTTTATCTATTGGTTGTTGGGTTGTCAACCAAACTCCTTACATTTCTAGCGTCACCGACTTGCCGGCATGCGGGGATTACGTGGTTTACGTTTGTCTCTCACGCACTGATGCTGTTTACTCGACCAAAACAGCGGTTCTTAGCGTCTTTTTGGAACTGTAGCTTCCTCTCAGTTTGCACAAAGTGTGTTGTAACGGCGGACAAGAATCCACGACCAGTTCGCTGCAAAAGAAAGTCTGTTTTTGACGTCGCTGAAAGAAGAAGAGAAGGGGAAGAGGAGCGAAGCGCAACATTTGAAAAACTGTCACTGCATTTCTCTTTCATTGGAAAATCTTCCATACAACCTTTAATCATTTATGTTTTTATATTAAAATGATCGTCATTGCTATTACTGCTACTAATCTGTAGAAATAAACTCAACTTTACAACATATAAACCATCACCACTCTAAAGCCACATCAGCCCGTTTGACATTATAATGTGTTTAATTCAGCTTTGACACATTTGTTTACATTTTACAGAAACAAAATGTAAAACTGCATAGCTCATTTGCATAGACTAAAAGCACTGAAAAAAAAAACAGCTTTTTCCTTGTGCGCTGGTGCGGTTCAGCTTCTCTCACACTAAGGCTGCGTTCAGACTGCAGCCTAAAGTGACCCAAATCCAGTTTTTTGGCCCCTATGTTCCTGTATCTGATCTTTTAATGACAGTCTGAACCACACAGATCCGATTTTTTCAAATGTGACCCAGGACACTTGGATATGTGCTTCTAAAACCGATACATATCCGATCTTTGACATGAGACTTCAGTGTGAACGGTCAAAGCGCATTCATCCGATCTACACGTTATCAACAAGCCACAAACGTCACTATTCTGCACTGAAGTAGGCGAAAATTGTTAATGAACTCCGTGTCACTGAAGTGAAGCACATCACCACTCACCACTCTTGGCTTCGTCTCCACATCCACACGTTCCTTTCAACGGACGTCGCTGTCACTGTCCCACAAAACACCACGCCCAAAAACCTCGTCCTTCTCCTTCTCAATCTCCTCCTTAAAACAAGTAAGTTGTTCATGTTCTGGCTCCGGTACGAGAGGAACTTTAAAATCTCCAGGTGCTCAATGCTGCGTCCATGTTTGGACAACTTCCGTAAACACAGAACACGCTCGCTGCAGGTTGACGTCGTCGTGTCTCCAGTGTCACATGCGAGACACTTTTCGGGCCGTTTAATGTTCACACTGGAGTCACATACAAGTCACATTTAATTGGAAATGTGAACGACCTCGCAAAAACATCGGATTTCACAAAAAAATCTGGAATTGAGCGTTAAGCCCTGCAGTCTGAACGTAGCCTTAAGGACACGACTCAGTGGAATAAGAGTGTTCTCTCGGTGACAGAGGGATGTTGTTGTTGATGTTGATGAATCTGTTCTGTGTGTGTTTCATGTTGGAGATGGTTCATGTTTTCAGAGATCAGATGTGTTCAGGTTTTGGCACAGCTCTTTATTTAACATCATTTCACTCACTTTATTTATGTTGGTCACTTTATTTATTTTGACAACTGTTGTGATGAAAACACTGAAAAGTGTTTGTCTTTTGGACGCATGTGCACTCAACAGGAAACGGGACACTGCGTTTACATGCACCATGACAAAACCCGGATACTCAGAAAACCTGATCAAACCCGGGACACTGATGTGCTGTAAACACACTCAGTGAGTGTCAGACGCAGCCTTGTCTCCTTATGCTACACTACACACAGCAACCAGCAATCGGTTTGTCGATTAAAAATTACAAAATGCTTAACGATCAGTTATTCAGCATTTCAACGTGTTTCCCTTGTATCTTAAGACGCAGTTAGATCCTGTTGAATTTAAAATAGGAAGTCAGCGCAGCCTGAATTTTGATTTATAATTATTCATCTGTAAGGTCAAACTACATTCTGAAAACTTTTGTTATTGCTACTGCTACTGCAAAAAGTGAGTTGTAGTGAACTCATTTATGCTCCTTACTCAGTGCACTTGTGGTCGTCTCCTGCAGGTGGCGCCGAAGAAGACCCCGTTGTTTGAGTTCCACCGGGCGAGTGGGGGTAAGATGGTGGAGTTTGCGGGCTGGAGCATGCCTGTGCAGTACACGGACAGCCACATCAGCTCTCACATGCACACGAGGACGCACTGCTCGCTGTTTGACGTCAGCCACATGCTACAGGTAAACAACAACACGCTCATGTATGTTAATGTGTATACAACATTATAATTACATTTATGTTACAATGATTTTGGGAACTGTTTTGTCACATTCTGCTACTTATTTAAAATTTAGTATTACCATTTATATTTTTACTTTTTGTTATTATATTTATTGTGATGTGTGAGCTGCTGTGTCCAAATAATTTCCCTTGTGGATCAATAAACTTTGTCTAAGTCTAACAAAGCTAAAATAAATATTCATTCATACAGTTAAATTGTTCAGTTGATAAATAAACAGAAATGAAAGCAATTTAATCACAGGTGTTTTTACTGCTCACAGTTAGTGTAAAATTCATAAAAATATGAATTCTTGCTGTGAGCGGGATTGCCCCATCATAGACCTGACGCATAAATTAGCCCTAATAAAATTTTGAAATATAAATTTATTTGTTTTGTGTTTTACAGTAGCTGCTTGATTATGGAAAAAGTCATTATCACGATTATTTTGAACAATGTTGAAATCACGATTATTCAAACGATTATTTTTTTGTTACACAATGCATTTAGTCTGCATTTCTCTCTTTAAAAACACAAAACTTTCAAATTGAAAATAAATATAAGCTACAAATATGAACCTTAGAGCAGTTTTGCGATATATTATAAAACATTAAATAAATAAAATATACTTTGAACATGAAACATAAACGTATCCAAAATAAACTATATATCCAGCTGTTCTACAATTTCAATGTTTAAAAAGTAAAATAAGTATACTTATTTATATAAAAAAATATTCCAAAATAATTAAGCTTTTTTAAGCTTTCATTTCAACTTGATTATATGAGTTTGGAGGTAGTTTGACACATGAAATTCGAAATCAAAATCAAATATCGATTAATTGCACAGCCTTATTTTACACACAGTAAAATGTCATTAAATTAAAACATTGACTTATTTGCCATATTACAAAATAAAGCAATATATTATGTTTTTCTGTATTTATTTATTTTTTTGTCCAGACCAAAGTCCACGGAAAAGACCGAGTGAAGTTCATGGAGTCTCTGGTAGTCGCAGACATCGCAGAACTCAAAGACAACCAGGTCTGACACATAAATAACACCTGGAACTGTAAATAAGAGTTTAAATCTAGATTTAAAGGCACATTATGCAGCTTTTCAGCTAGAGGGTCCACCACCTAACTGTCTCCATGGAGATGTTCCTGCTTTTACCTGGAATGTTCTACAGTGTGACGTAAAATGTATTTGTTTAAGTAAATTACAGGTATTTTTACTACTCAAAAATCAGCGCAGTCGCCTCTCCACAGATCTTCACTTGCCTGTTTATTTGGAAATGCGTATGTTTAATGCTGGACTAGGAAAAAGCCATCTCCATGGAAACAAGCAGAAAAGTTACAAAGTGCACCTTTAATGTTTTGCCTGATAAAAGCTTATATAAAAAATCTACAGTATGACATTAAACAAACTTATTTTATATTTAAAAAGTTGAAACACTGCATGCATTTTTACACTGAACAGAAATGCCTATAAATAAATAAATACATCGAAAACTACCACTACATGACATCACAAGGTGGAGCAGAGCATTTTGGAGATGTACACAGACTAGTAACGCAAGATTAATAAAATCATATGTGAAGGAAACAAAACACAACTCCACTTCTATGTTTTTGAGGAGCTCACAAGAGTCAGTTTTGCATAATATAGGACCTTTTAATGCCGTATTGTGGAACATGCCATGAAAAGCAATAACATCTCCATGCCAACAAGCAGGTGCTGGACCAGAAAAGTTCTAATATTAATTAAACTTTGGTTGTTTCAGGGAACTCTGTCTCTCTTCACGAACGATGAAGGAGGAATCATGGACGACCTGATCGTGACTAAAACAGACCAGTGTTACCTGTACGTGGTTTCTAACGCAGGCTGCGCCGACAAGGACTCTGCCCACATGAAGGTACGAGTACAGCTCAAGGTATTATCAGGTCTTTTATATAGGTGGGTTTTACTACTGTTAGTACTACTGCTGTGTACTAGTGCTGCTACTACATACTATACAATACTACAAACTATTACCGACTAACTGCTGTAGAGGAGCTTGAGGAGTGTTAGTCGACATACAGAGCTTAGTCTATTTATACTTTGCAGCTGATGTCGTTCAAATTCCCTGGGGGTGTGATGCTAACTGAAGGCACTACCCCGTCTATTTGACTAAAAATCTGAGCTTTATTTTAACACAGGGGTTTTTAAATTGGGTGAATGTGAGCCTCCCCTGAGAGTAGATAAAGACAGTCTATGCAGGCGCACCTCTGGACCCGTCCTGACACTCCAAGTTCAGTCCTGGTTTAGTTCTCCTGGTTCAGTCCTGGGATCAGTCCTGGTTTAGTTTGTGTGTGTTGCGTCTCCCCAGTGGCTGTTTGGCCTCACCTATTGAAAATCTCTATTTTAACACAATCTGACCATAAAGAGCTGACTTAGTTGGAGCTACCACAGGTGAAGTGATTTGTGCTGTTAAACAAATCTCTCTCACATTAAATTACAGTCACAAGCTTGATAACATTGGCCAATAGTTTTTCAGTTCGTCTCTCACTTTTTTGTTGGAAATCAAACACCTAAACCGGACCATGAATGTGTTTGTTAATATGTGCATTGTGTCACCATGGTAACTGCTCAATATTCCACCATAGAGATACATGTAGAATAGAGCATGGAAACCCGACCGAAGTCCGATGGGACCCGATTGGACCCGTTGGAACCTGACGGGCTCTTTCAGACTTGGACAAATATTTCGAACTTATGTTTGGGCTCGGGTCGGACTCGGACATATCAGCGCGATAAGACATTTGAAATGTAAAATGAGGTAGGCAATGCTGATGCACTCCCCTCATCTGTGTTGACGTTCCAAGTGCCTTTTTTCAGTTGACTGATAAAATTGGATTTTCACACAAACAATATTCTACATGTGTCATTAGGCCTATGAAAATAGTGTGATTTTAACTGTGTCGGGCTCGGTCAGACTTAGGCTGCGTTCAGACTGCAGCCTGAAGTGACCCAAATCTGATTTTTTGGCTTCTATGTGACCTGTATCTGATCTTTTAATGACAGTCTGAACCACACAGATCGGATTTTTTCAAATGCGACTCAGACCACTTGGATATGTGCTCCTAAAACCGATACATATCTGATCTTTTGACATGTGACTTCAGTCTGAACGGTCAAAGTGCATTCATCCACCTACACGTTATCAACAAGACACAAACGTCACTATTCTGCGCTGAAGTAGGCGAAAATTGTTAATGAACTCCATGTCACTGAAGTGAAGCACATCACCACTCACCACTCTTGGCTCCGTCTCCACATCCACACGTTCCTTTCAACGGACTGAACCACAAAACACCACGACCAAAAACCTCGTCCTTCTCCTTCTCAATCTCCTCTTTAAAACAAGTAAGTTGTTCATGTTCTGGCTCCGGTACGAGAGGAACTTTAAAATCTCCAGGTGCTCAATGCTGCGTCCATGTTTGGACAACTTCCGTAAACACAGAGCACGCTCGCTGCAGTTGACGTCGTCGTGTCTCCAGTGCACATGCGGGACACTTTCGGGCCGTTTAATGTTCACACTGGAGTCACATACAAGTCGCATTTAATTGGAAATGTGAACGACCTCGCAAAAACATCGGATTTCACAAAAAAATCGGCATTGAGCGTTAAGCCCTGCAGTCTGAACGTAGCCTTAGACACTAATATATTAATGCCTATCGGGCTCGGTTCAGATTCGATCACTGTTCTGTCGGACGAGGAACGAGTGGCTGGTCTCGGACAGAAAAAAAATCGTCCCGAACCACACTCTAATGTAGAACACCCCTGTGTCATGTCACTGCAAAGTATCAATTATTACTACTAGTAGCAGCTATTTACCTATTAATATCTACTACAATAAACAACTGGACATTTAAAGATAATTATATTGTGTAACTACAGTACTTTTACTTTCACACGGCTCTGGTTGACTGGTGAATTATTTGTGTTTCAGGCCAAACTGTCAGAATTCAAAGCTGCAGGTTTCGATGTGGATCTGGAGTTTTTAGATGACGCACTGATCGCTGTACAGGGTTAGTACGGAAATACATATCATTTCTCTAAATGATTGTATCGTATAATTTAAACATAATCTGTGCTTTAGGTCCGTCGATGAGCCGTGTCCTCCAGGAGGGAGTGAAGGACGATTTAAAGAAGCTCCCGTTCATGTTCTCGACTCTGACGTCTGCGTTTGGAGTCCCCTGTCGAATCACACGCTGTGGGTACACCGGGGAGGACGGAGTCGAGGTATAAGCCTTTAACTACTACTATACTATAACTACTATTACTACTGCTACTATTACCAGGGATGAACCAATCCAGCCATTTCTTTTCTGATACTGATGTCAACTTTGGGCTTAAAGGTTGTATGGAGGATTTTTTTTTGTTTCAAATTGTCAATGATAGCATTATAGAGGTGCAGTAGCCTTGTAATTATGATGACCAAAAAAAAGAGAATAAAAATTCATCAACTCTGGACGTGGTGGGGCTAAACATTTGCCAATAGATAACGACACTGCCTCGTTATCTGTGAGCTGACAGGCTGTCAATCAATCTCCCTACGTTTCTAGTGTAACTGACTTGCCTGCGCCGCCGGTACGTGGTTTACGTACGACTGTCACGCAGTCCACAGACGCAAGACGCACAGACGCTGTTTACTCCACCAACGCAACAGTTCTTAGCGGCTTTTTTTGACCTATATCTTCCTCGCAGTTCGCACAAAGTTTGTTGCAATGGCGACAAGAATCCAGGAGCAGTTCGCCGCAAAAGAAAGTCCGTTTTTGAGGTCGCTGAAAGAAGAAGACAAGGGGAAAAGCAGCGAAGCCAAACTAAGGTGATTCTTGAAGATTCATTCCAGCGATGGCGCGACTGAAGCAGACGCAGGGTCTAAAGACTGACGCACTGGTCCACAAATTACTCCTGGACAGGAAACTTCTGCTTATTATGAAAAAGTACTTTATTTCCAAGAGCTACACAAACGTTTTTCAGGACACGAAAGTGATATCCTGTGTCTGAAAACATAATTTTCAAGGCAAAGAAAGAGTCCGCTTGCTGCTGCGTGTTGTAGCTAGTTCATTAGCACTGAATCTCCGCGCAACCTTCTCTGCTCCCCTTTCCTGCTCCTCTCCCCGCTGCCCGTTCCGCTCTTCCCCCTGCTCCTCACTTCTCCGGGCACGGAATCTCCGCGCACCCCCTCCCCTCTCCTCTCTCCTCTCTCCCTGCTCCGCTCTTCTCCCTGCTCCTCACTTCTCGTCCGCGAACGAAATGTCCGCACTCCCGCTCCCCCCGCTCCTCACTTCTCCGTCTTGCCTAACCAACACTGTAGTTAGTTGTTTACAAGTCATGTGCAGCACCGGCTGTAAACAAACCTGTTTCTGGCGTAAGGAGGAGGAGGGAGGAGGTGTTTCTACGTAGGAGCTGTAGGGGAGGGGAGGTGGTTTCACGCATGCGCAACATTTGAAAAAGGACAAACAGTCGCTGGATTTCTCGTTCCTTGGAAAAGTGTCTGCCGATACCTGATACCAGCGCAGAGACTGAAAATATAACAAAATTCCTTTAAACACAAACTGCGTATGGTAAAAAATTATCCATGTGTTTTGTAATTCTTATTTATAATTTAAAGAACAAATATTACGAGATGTTTAGACTTGTATTTTCTTACTCGTGTGGCTCTTCAGATCTCCGTGCCCAGTTCTCGTGTGGTGGAGCTCACAGAGAAGCTGCTGTCCAACCCAGAGGTGAAGCTGGCCGGACTCGGAGCCAGAGACAGTCTGCGGCTGGAGGCGGGGCTCTGTCTCTATGGCAACGACATCGACGAGACCACCACACCTGTCGAGGCCACGCTCGTCTGGACCATAGGTGACAGAAATGATATATGTCAGGCTGCTATAACGTGGACTATTGATGATACATGACGCTGTTCTGGTTTAGACCTGGTTTGGCCTGGTTTAGTCCTGGTTTAATTTTGGTGTAGACCTAATTTAGTCCTGGTTTAATCCTGGTTTAGTCCTGGTTTAGACCTAGTTTAATCCTGGTTTAGACTTGGATTAATCTTGGTGTAGACCTGATTTAGTCCTGGTTTACACCTGGTTTAGGCCTGGTTTAGGACTGGTTTGGGCCTGGTTTAGTGCTAGTTTAGGCCTGGTTTAGTCCTGGTTTAGACCTGGGTTAAATGTGGTTTAGGCCTGGTTTAGTGCTAGTTTAGACCTGGTTTATTCCTGGTTTAGTTTAGTTTAGACCTGGTTTAGATCTGGTTTAGACCTGGTTTAGACCTGGTTTAGACCTGGTTTCACTCCTGGTTTCACACCTGGTTTCACACACCTGGTTTAGACCTGGTTTAGACCTAGTTTAATCCTGGTTTAGACTTGGATTAATCTTGGTGTAGACCTGATTTAGTCCTGGTTTAGACCTGGTTTCCACACCTGGTTTAAACCTGGTTTAGACCTGGGTTCACACCTGGTTTAGACCTGGTTTAGTCCTGGTTTAGACCTGGTTTATTTTTTTTACTTAATTTAAGACGGCATAATAACTTAAAGGTGCAATGTGTAACTTTTCTGGGGGAGGGTTCTTCTCGTGCTAGAGTTGTTATTTCTTTACCCAAAATGTTCCACAGTATGGCATTAAAGTCATCTATCTTACATCAGTAGTTGTATTGCTCAGAAATATCTTAAAAATCATACATCAGTGGTGTGATTGGGCTTAAATCAAGTTTGTACAGTTTGTAAAAAGAGACCATTTTCACGATTATAGGAAAGCGTCGGCGTCAGACCAAAGACTTCCCCGGAGCAGACGTCATCGTTCCTCAGATCAAGAACAAAACTCCGAGGAAGAGAGTGGGCCTGGTCTCCACCGGGCCTCCTGTCCGGCAGCACACGCCCATACTCAGCACGGATGGAAAAGTTATCGGTAAAACAACACGTGATGTAAAAATGTGGCGTGTATTTGTTGATTTGGAGGATAATAAGTTTGTAATGAAAGGTTAAATGGAACAGGGAATTCACTGGTTACTGTTCTTCCATCAGCCTGTGACAATAACAACTTTTTATATTTTGTTTAAAAAAAAAAATCACAATAAATGATAATCTTGAAGACAATTGATATTAAAACTACAGAAATCAAATCCAACACCAATCCAACATTTTCCCAAAGAATGTATAACTCACAATTTAAAGTTGGGCTGAGTTCTTTGGCCCAGTACATCAATGTAAAAAAAAAAAGTCACAAAAAAGAATGTATAATAAATGTACCCATAAATACTTCATTTATTGAACCATAAGTTGATATATTTTTATAATGGCGGTCATATCTTCTATACTAATTGTTACAGAGCACATATTATATAAATGTTCAACCAGAAACACAAGTCGTTGTTTTGTGAGCCTCAAGTAAGTCTCAAGTCTTTGACCTCAAGTCCGAGTCAAGTCTCAAGTCAAAAACAGGCAAGTCCAAGTCGAGTCTCAATTCACTGGCCCATAAGTCCAAGTCAAGTCCAAGTCGTCTGCTTTGAGCTTCAAGTCATTTCAAGTTTTTAAACCAAAATACCAAATATCTTACATTTTTTCAATTTATATGACTTTTAAACTAAATTGTACTTTAAATATACCATGATTTTTTTAGTTGTATTAAGGCAACTTTTTCCTTTTTAAATGTTTTGACAAAATCTAAGTGTGAATCATTACGGATTTAAAATTGCAGTTACTTTGTCGTGTGTCTGCACTGAAATGGAAGGATCATGTTTCTTGTAGTTCCCTCTGTTTGACTGTATTGTGCTGTACTTTACTGTAGAACATTTGAGGATCACAGTACTTCAGTTACAACCAAAGTAACAAACACAGAAGTAAGACGGACATGTTCCAGTTTGTTCATGTAAAATTAAGCGCGGCATGTGGGTCCAGTCAAGTGGTAACGGAGGGAAACAGGGGCAGATTTTTTACATTCAAATGTCTCTTATTCAGAAACTAGAGGGACTATTGAAATAAGTAAAGTATCAGAATGTAGGAAAGAGTTACACTCCAACAGGCAAAGTTAAACCTGTGATATTCTTTCAAGTTGTTGACAAAAAATTTTAAAACTCATGTCGGTAACAGAGGGAATGAAATATGCAGCACTTTTTGGGCAATAAATACAAACAGTGATAACTCTTGGTTCTCACTTACATATCCTTAACAAACTGGTTTGAATATTTGCTTCATATAGTTTTCTACCATATGGTACAAGATTAGGTTGAAAAACCTCTTACTTTTTGAGTCATGAAGATTTTTTATTAAGAAAGTTCATGGTAACGGAGGGAAAAGTAACGGGGGGAAAATTGTACAAACAAGTAGAAGGTGCAGGATTTTACATAATTTGTCAACTTTTTTCTTCTGAATACTTTAATATTTTATGTCAGTCCTTCCAAGCATGTTTCATCAACATGATGGAATAACATGATTTAAAACAGATGGAAAACTTTTTAGAACCAAAAATGGTACAGAAAAAAGGTCAACAGTTTCATAAACTAGAGTACATATGTATCTGTTCAATACATTTTTATATCAGATGCATTAACTTGAATTTTTGGCCTTGTTGTTTACTTCTGCTTGACTGGGCCCAAGTCTTCTATTTTTTAGGAGAAGCATCGAGTCTTCTCAAGTCACAGGCCGAAAGTCCGAGTCAAGTCCCAGGTCTTAGTCTATTTTATCAAATCAAGTCACAAGTCCTAAAAATAGTGACTCAAGTCAGACTCTCGTCCAAGTCACGACGTGCAAGTGCCTGGAGTTATGTTTTTGCTTCACTTTTGCTCGTCTCTTAATTAATCCACTAATCCAGAGTCGTCTTCTCTGAACCTCAAAAACGCTCCTTTCTCAATTTGCCCTTTTAGTTGCGTCAGAGATCAATTCTGAACTTCTCCAGCGCAGATTTTAAACCATCACCGGACTCATTCTGTGATTTTTATTCAGTTATGAAGAAGAGATATGTAATTCTCCATTTTTTTTATTCCCGTTTCTGACATCAGAGGGCGTTTTTAAAGTGTATTTTCCAAACTGAGACATTATTTTAAGTCAGAAAATGTGAAACTCTTACCCCAACATTATGTGACCACACCATTAAACCACAAAAATGCATAATACCGTGTGTGTTTTTTTTTTTAAATAATGTCCTAGGTGAGGTGACGAGTGGCTGCCCCTCTCCCTGCCTGAAGAAGAACGTCGCCATGGGTTACGTGGACTCCGCCTTCGCCAAGAACGGGACCCAGATCCAGGTGGAGGTCCGGAAGAAGGCGGTCCCGGCCACAGTCAGCAAAATGCCCTTCGTGCCCACTAACTACTACACCGGCTAAAACAGGAGGTGTACAGCAGCCGGGAGAACATCTATCCAGACTCGTTATTTTGTACTTTAAGATGTTTATAATGAGAGATTCTATTTTTAAATGATCCAACTGGTCGTCAGTATTGGTCGTCAATATAGTTTACGATGAGGTTATAAGGACCACAGTACTGTTATAATTTATACATTTGCAGGATTTAACCACTAAATACGAGTACAAAATCGTGGATCTGAGATTAGAGTTTCTTTATGTAACAGGAACTATGGTCCAATTTTTAAAGTGGCTTTTTAGTATTTTTAACTCTACACTGTTCAAAATCTATAATACTCAGGTTGTCAAAAGGACCAAAACAGAATCATTCCAAATATTGAAAAACCACCAGCAACAAAAAATACATTGTCAAACTATGAAATGTCTTAACTACTGTGAATTAATTCCAATATATTTTTCAAGTTTTTTTTTTTTTTTTTTTTTATACTTGAAATCTTGAAGTTGCACTGTGTAACTTTTCTAGTGGACAGTTCGGACTGAAATGTTCCACAGTATGACTTTAAACAGTTCTACCTTACATTTATTCGATTATAGATGATTTTATAACTCAAAAATACCCAGACAAAGCAATAACATCTTGCATTTGACGGACCGTCCACCAGAAAAGTTGCACAATGAATCTTTAATGTTTACATAACACTGCTAATTTTAAACTAATTTTAAACCACTTATGTTTCAATTAAATTTCTGGTAGCTTTGATAAAACATTTGCAGTGGTACAATTTATACAACAGTATTTTTTAATGTTTAGATTTAACAACAATTGAACTTTGTACTTTTTGGAAATTTTAATAAAAAAACAACATTTGCAATCAACCCATGTGCCTCGACCTGTTTATTCCATTTTTGGTTCACTATCAAAAATGCAAAATGTTAAAAATGTAATTGTAGCCAGTGTTGGGGAGTAACAGATTACATGTACCGGCGTTATGTAATCAGAGTACAAATTATGAGTAACTGTATTCAGTTACAGTTACTGTTTCAGTGAGTGGTAATTGGATTACAGTTACTTTGTTGAAATAAATGGATTACACAGAGGGATTTTCCTGTTTTCATGTTTTGGGCTATATCCCTTTTTCTTTTTTTCTTTTTTTTTTTTAGTAATTCCACTCATTCCCAGAAAACTAAACCAGGACTAAACCAGTACTAATACAGGACTAAAACAGGATTTAACAGGAATAAACCACGTTTTGGGCTATATCCCTTTTCCTTTTTTTTTTTTTCTCTGTAATTCCACTCATTGCCGGACACTAAACCAGGTCTAAACCAGGTCTAAACCAGGTCTAAATCAGGTCTAAAACCAGGTCTAAAACCAGGTCTAAACCAGGTCTAAACCAGGTCTAAACCAGGTCTAAACCAGGTCTAAAACCAGGTCTAAACCAGGTCTAAAACCAGATCTAAACCAGGTCTAAACCAGGTCTAAAACCAGGTCTAAACTCTAAAACCAGGTCTAAACCAGGTCTAAAACTAAAACTAGGTCTAAACCAGGTCTAAACCAGATCTAAAACCAGGTCTAAACCAGATCTAAACCAGGTCTAAACCAGGTCTAAACCAGGTCTAAACTCTAAAACCAGGTCTAAACCAGATCTAAACCAGGTCTAAACCAGGTCTAAATCTAAACCAGGTCTAAAACCAGGTCTAAAACCAGGTCTAAACCAGGTCTAATCTAAAACCAGGTCTAAAACCAGGTCTAAACTAAACCAGATCTAAACCAGGTCTAAACCAGGTCTAAATCTAGGTCTAAATCTAAAACCAGGTCTAAAACCAGGTCTAAACCAGGTCTAAACTCTAAACCAGGTCTAAACCACTAGGTCTAAAACCAGGTCTAAACCAGGTCTAAACCAGATCCAGGTCTAAACCAGGTCTAAACCAGGTCTAAACCAGGTCTAAAACCAGGTCTAAACCAGGTCTAAAAGGTCTAAAAACCAGGTCTAAAACCAGGTCTAAACCAGGTCTAAAACCAGGTCTAAACCAGGTCTAAACCAGATCTAAACCAGGTCTAAAACCAGGTCTAAAACCAGGTCTAAACCAGGTCTAAACCAGGTCTAAACCAGGTCTAAACCAGGTCTAAACCAGGTCTAAACCAGGTCTAAACCAGGTCTAAAACCAGGTCTAAACCAGGTCTAAACCAGGTCTAAAACCAGGTCTAAACCAGGTCTAAAACCAGGTCTAAAACCAGGTCTAAACCAGGTCTAAAAGGTCTAAACCAGGTCTAAACCAGGTCTAAACCAGGTCTAAACCAGGTCTAAAACTAAACCAGGTCTAAAACCAGGTCTAAACCAGATCTAAACCACTAGGAAAACTAAACCAAGATTAAACCACGTCTAAACTAGGACCAGGTCTAAACCAGGACTAAAACCAGGTCTAAACCAGAATCTAAACCAAGGTCTAAACTCTAAACCAGGAAACTCTAAAACCAGGTCTAAACTATCTAAACCAGTCTCAAACAGGATTTAACAGGACTAAATCCAAACTGCTGTGCGGACCATGTTTCTAAACTCTTCTTCTATCAATAATATTTTTAATCTTGGTTCAGTAAAGTCTGGGCTTTTCATTTTCTTTTATCAGACAAAACTTCTTATGTGAAGATTTCCTCGTCTTTGCTTCTCTACAGCAAATCAAATAATCCAAAGTATTCAGATTATGTTACTCACTTTAAGTAATTTAATGGATTACAAACGTTACAAACTACATTTTGGGGTATGTAATCTGTAATCTGTAGGGGAATACATTTTAAAAGTAACACTCCCCACCTTATTTGGATATTTTTTGATCCACTGGCGTCGAAATCACTAGCAGATGTTTTCGTAGTTTTATTTCATTCTTGCGGTAATATTTTGATGGGTGATCATTTTCTGATTTAACACTGGGTGGCGTCAAATGCGCGTTTCAAAGTGGTTGCTAAAGCTTTTCGAAAACAAACGAGGAAGAGTGTTGTGACCGGAGGAAGATGGTGCGCTCCGAGACTGCGGCGTGCTCCGAACTGCGTCCAAAACAGTGCGTAAAACCCCGCTTTCCTCAGCCCGGAACCCGACACAGACTCCCCGGAGACACCCACAGATAACACCGCTCTGTCCCCGTGGAATAAACCAACCTGACGTGTCCAGGAAACTTCATTTGATCATCTCCCGCAAAGAGCGTTGAAGAGGAGTTTCGGAGTTAGCAGCGCGCTAGCCACAGTCCGCGCTGCTACAGCTTGGACACGGGTGGATCGGCGTGGGCTTTTCGCAACTTTCTTCGGACATTTTGGAGCTGGAATCACGGAGACCGAGAGGTTACTCGTTGTTGTCACCCTCGCAGCAGCTGTCACCCGTAAAAGGACAAAATCGGACAGTGAAAACGGTGTATTTTTGGATAGGTAACCTCCGCAAGTGACAAGATGCCGAGGAGTAAAAAGGGCAAACGTGGTTCGGGCAAGCCTGGTAAGCATATTTTCGTCTAAAAATAACATTGTTTAACATTCTTGGGATTTAAACTTCATTGTAGAGCTTTTAGAATAATTAGTTTACAATGTTTAATTTAAAACAAGTATGCCAAAGTTGTGTCAGCTGTTTATAAAATGCGTTCATTCATAAATATTTGCATACTTGCCAAATTGTGCTTTATTGGTGAAGTTTTGCGCGTTTTACTTTATTTAATCACAGTTTGCAGCTTAGAAATAAACTGGAAACATTGCTCTCACTGCAAAGCTTATGCTAGGGTTAAAAAGTCCATGCTTCTTGGTGTTAAATATGGAAGTTTTAAGCTATTTATAGTAAAGAGGTCACGCCTTATGAACCTGACGTAACCCCGCGCAACACCACCGCTTCAGTTTGGACTAGGTCTGGACAGAAGATACCCACACATTTAGCCTTGTTTTATGGAGCTATTGTGCAGTAACTGGCGGTTTTGACAGCCGACCACATGGCTTAATCCCCGGCCGTGCGTGGCTCACGTTTCGAGGTGGGGGAGGGTTCGGTGCGCGCACGTGGATCGCTGCAAAGGCACTGTACTTTTACGCACAGCTCACGTTCACTTTTTTCCCCAGAAGGAATATAAGGAAAGGAAAATCAAGTTTGAAGTAGGGTGACCTGACTTCCCTATTTACCCGGGACCGTCCCAGTTTCGATCCCTGTGTCCCCTGTCCCAGCAGATTTCTACTAAACGAGCGATTTGTCCCAGTTTTATACAACAAATGCCCCAGATGCAGTGTTAGGAAGGTCACTTTTAAAATGTATTCCCCTACAGATTACAGATTACACTCACCAAAATGTAGTTTGTAACGTAATCCATTAAATTACTTAAAGCAAGTAACGTAATCTGAATACTTTGGATTACTTGATTTGTTGTAGAGAAGCAAAGACGAGGAAATCTTCACATAAGATGTTTTGTCTGCTAAAAGAAATAAAAAATAATAAAAAGTCCACATTTTACTTAATCAAATTAAAAATAGTATTAATAGAAGAGAAGACACGGTCCGCACGGCATGGTTTAGTCCTGATAAATCCTGTTTGAGACATAATTTAGACCTGGTTTTAGTCCTGGTTTAGTCCTGGTTTAGTCCTGGTTTAGTCCTGGTTTAGTCCTAGTTTAGTCCTAGTTTAGGCCTGGTTTAGACTTGGTTTTAGACCTGATTTAGTGTCCGGCAATGAGTGGAATTAACCCCCCCCCAAAAAAAAAAAAAGGGATATAACCCAAAATGTGAAAACAGGAAAATACCTCTGTGTAATCCATTTATTTCAACAAAGTAACTGTAATCCAATCACCACTCACTGAAACAGTAACTGTAACTGAATACAGTTACTCATAATTTGTACTCTGATTACATAACTCCAGTACATGTAATCTGTTACTCCACAACACTGCTCAGGTGTTCCTATTTTTGACCAGTTTGATCTAAATCAGGACTAAAACAGGACTATCTATGCTAAAGAGGAGCATAAATTGGAGCATAAATTGTCATTTGTTGCACCAAAATACTGAAAACTGTGTTTGCAAATGACCATAAAGCAAAAAAAAAAGCAGCTTCAGAAGTCCCTCAGATTGTGCATTCTCACGTCAGTCATAATCTTACACGCTCTTTTCACAATTTTATTTATGCCAAACATCCTAACCCGTGTGTGTGCCAGTTTTGTATTTTGAAAATCGGGTCACCCTAGTTTAAAGGACTCATATTACACCGTTTTCTGATCTGTTATGATGTTGTTTCCTCGTCACAAACATGCCTGGAGTCGTCAAACACAACGGATTCCAGGCACTCCAAACAAGTAGAAAAAGTTCACACATCCCACGAGGAAAAATATAGTTAAAAGGCTTTTATTTGAATGGCCAAAGCCAACATGTTCCGACCTTAAAGGTTGTATGGAGGATTTTTTTTTGTTTCAAATTGTCAATGAAAGTTTAAAATACCATTACAGAGACGCAGCAGCCTTGTAATTACGATGACCAAAAAAAAAAAATGAAAATTTATCAACTGTGGACGTGTTGAGGCCAGATAAACATCAGCCAATAGAAAACGAGGCTGCCTCTTTACCTATTGGCTGTCAGGTCATCAATCAAACTCCCTACGTTTCTAGTGTAATTGACTCGTCGGGATGCAGGGATCACGTGGTTTATGCAGCGGTTCTTAGAGGCTTTTTCAAACTGTCACTTCCTCACAAAGTTTGTTGCGATGGCGGACGAGAATCCACGACCAGTTCGCCGCAAAAGAAAGTCGGTTCTTGAGGTCGCTGAAAGAAGAAGAGAAGGGGAAAAGGAGCGAAGACAAACTGAGGTGATTCTTGGAGATTCCTTCCAGCGATTGCGCGAGTGAAGCGGACGAAGGGTCTAAAAACTCGCATGCACAACATTTGTAAAAGAACTGTCGCTGTATTTCTCTTCCCTTAAAAAAATCCTCTATACAACCTTTAACTGGTCTTCATTCGAAACATGTCGGCTTTGGCCATTCAAATAAAAGACTTTTAACTATATTTTTCCTCGTGCGATGTGTTAACTTTTTCTACTTGTTTGGAGTTTGAGTTTTGATCCTTTTTCCAAGAGCGCCCTCTACTTGCTCCGACTGATTGGAACACCTGCAGCAAACAGCCACATTTTTGCTCTTCATACCTGGAGTCGTGTTTTGTTTCGTGCGCACATTTTAAGCACACAAACCCTGCACATTTAGGCGGAGTTCTTCTCTCGAACTGAACACACTCCACCTTGTGATGTCGTGTGGTAATACAGAACGTGCTCCTCTGTATTTTAAACTTAATACGGCTTCACTAGAAACATCTGGATACGTCCTGTCCTGAAATCTCTGCTAAATAAAAGGTAAAAAGTAGTTAACTTGCACTAGCATTATGAGCTTTGGAGATGTAGCCTTCCCAATAATTCATAGTTACTCAAACATGTGTGAATGAAACAAAAAAAAACAACTCCAGGTCTGTTTTTCATGAGGTAACTTTATAATATGATTTAAAGCTCAATAATACAGGATGTGTCTTTATAGGACTGTGACTTAATACACGGAAACAGGCTGTAACAGTGGAGCTGAGAGGTTATTGTCTAATGATTGTTTCCTTATTTGGAGGAAAGGAACCACCCTTTATTGAACTACATAATTCCATTATTAGTGGCCAAACGCTTTCCATAACGTACGTGACACAAAGGCACATTACAACTGGTCTCGCACGTTTCGCTCCGTGTTATTGTCGAGCAGTTGTCTAGTTTTTACTCGTAGCTTTTGACAATATAATGCAAATTTAACTTTTTCCAGACAGCATTTATTAGCCTATGTATATGTTTTATAGCTTCGAGAACAGGTTGGAGCCAAAAATGTGTTCATATAGCATTCTAAATAAAATGAAAAATCAGAATCAGAATCAGAATCAAATTTATTTGTCATTCCAGTATAAAAAATACACAGAAACGAAACAATGCACTCAGGTCCAGGTCAACAGCAGCACAGGTAACAATAAGAACAAATAGTTATAATAAGAATAAATAGTTATAACAAGAATAAAATAGTTAAAAATATTGTATATCAACCCGCCCCCATTTTCTAAAGTGCGTTCCAAGTCAGTGCTGTTTTGCAGTGTTTTTTCTGACAGAATTAATCTGTCTCACGGCATCAGGATAAAAACTGTTCCGTAGTCTCGTGGTCCTGGCCTGTAGGTGGCGCAATCTTCTGCCTGATGGGAGAGCTGTAAAAAGTTCATGTGCTGGATGGGTGGAGTCTTCCATGATGCTGTGGGCTTTTGTTCTGCACCTGCTGATGTAAATATCTTCAATACAGGGCAGACTACAGCCCAAGTTGCGCTCCGCAGCTCTAACTATCCTCTGCAGAGCTTTCCTCTCTGCCGTGGTGCTGCTGCTGAACCACACAGTCATGTTGGTGGTGAGGACGCTTTCCACCGCACACCTGTAAAAGGCCTTCAGGACAGAGGGGCCCACACCTGCTTTTTTTAGGCGCCTAAGAAAGTATAGGCGTTGGTGTCCCTTTTTCACAATGAAACTGGTGTTATTAGACCAGCTGAGACTATTCATGATTTGGACTCCCAGGTATTTAAGACAAAAAATGTGGTTGTCATTGCAATTTAACCATTTTAAACCAAATATCTTATCTGTTCAAAGGTGAAAAAAACTAATCAGAATGTTGCCTATCCTATGAGTTCCAGAATAATTAAAGCGAAACAAAATAGTCGATCTTTTGAGTGAGTGGTTAAAGTCCTCAGAAAGTAACTGGATGCTATTACTCTTCTGTAAAGGGATTATGACACTCACACGGGGATTATGTTTTGATGTAATCTCTAAGAAAGTCAAAATAAAACTACAATGAGTTAATCAATCTGTAAAATCAACCCCAGTCCACATGATGATATAAAGGACTTTTTTTTTTTTTACACAAAACTGACTGTTGTGTGAGATTTTAGTCATGTTATAATGTTGTTACCTCCTCAAAAACAAACCTGGAGTTGTGTTTTGTTTCATTCACACATGTTTGAGTAACACTTTATTATTAGTCTGTCTACATCTCCAAAGCTCAAAATGCTCAGTTCCACCTTGTGATGTCACGAAGCGAACGGTAAGTTTTCAAGTCACATTTTACCTTTAGTTCGGCAGAGATCGGCAGTTCCAGAGCTGACATTTTCCAGATGATTTTAGTGAAAGTTTACGGCGTTCCAAAAACAATGGAGCACTTCTTGTATTCCCACATGTCATCACAGGGTGGAACAGTTTGGAGAGAAGAACTCAGCCTAAATATGCAGGGTTTGCGTGTTTATATATGTGTGAATGAAACAAAACACAACTCCAGGTCTGTTTGTGAAGATGATACAACATAACATAAATCAGAAAATGGTGTAAAATGGGCCCTTTAATGCCTAAATAGACTTGCACAGAATCAGAATCACAGAATGTATGATATTTTTAACCATGTAGGGCAGGGGTGTCAAACTCATTTTGG